ATTTTATCTCCGTTCCCCTTCTCCTTATACTCTCTCAGATTGAAACACCAATATAAATTCCTAGCGTATTTCCTTTAAATAGTCTGTAGCCTGCATATCGCTCAGGGCGATGGGTCAGGGTAAATGAATACAACTCAACTCAACTCAACTCAATTAATCAATCAGTCCTAGTCCCAACCACAATGCCCCCTCCTGCACTCTCCTTAGATAGATAGGTAGGCAAGAGCACGCCAACGCCGTTCAAACCTCAAACACGCTTTAAATGCCCTGCTCCACGCACGCAGCCGCCCCGTCCCGTCCCGTCCCGTCCCGTCTGGCTGTCTCGTCCTATCTGTCCATGTGTCCTCTTCACGGCGACGGTGACGGTGACGGTGACGGTGCAGCGTGCTCGTGCTCGTGCTCGTGCTCATGCTCGTGCTCTAGCTCGCTCCTACATGCACGGGCGCCAGGCCTGTCCCGCCGTGGTAGGCAGGTATATGCATTGCGGGTGCCGGGTGCCGGGAGCGAAAGCTCCGAGCGGGCTGAGCGGGCCCAGCGGGCCGGGATTGCGGTTTGGGGTTTGCAGTCAAGCTGTGGTGCGCGTGTGTGTGCGTGTGTGTGGGGGCCTGGAGTCTAGCTCGGCGCAGGAGTGTGGTTGGCGGGGTCGGGTTCGCTTTTAGTTTTATGTTTCGACGTGCGCATAGTGCGCGGGCGCGGCGGTTGTGTCGTCTATCTTCTTTTACAATATCTGTAGGCAGGGTTCAGTTCGTCGCGTGCCGTGCGTGGTGGTGATGTCCTCTGAAAGCTTGGGGGCATCTGGCCCTCGCCACGGCTCACTTGCACGGCACGAGACGCGCCGCTCGAGCAGGCAGGGCGCATTCCATGCCCAACTCCACAGCAACTGCAGCGCACACAGTACAGACCTCAGGCTACAAGCTCAGGCGGTCCAAGCTCAAGCGATCAATACTGCGCGCGCGCTTCACCATGCCCAGCTTGTAGAAGCGCTCCTCGCCCGTCGCCGTCCGGCCGCCTATATACCACTTCTCCGGGGCAGCGCCGGGGCCGGCCGCGCTGGAGACGCGCTCGCGGAAGCCGCCGTCGGAGGAGCTGTCGGAGCCGCGGCGCTGCTTTGCGTGGGGGATGGGGAAGGGAGGCGAGGCGGGCGAGGCCGGGCTGGCGTAGCTGTTGTTGTTGGCGGCGCTGTGCGTGGCATGGCTGGTGTGGGCGGGCGAGCCCGGCGACTTGGCGTACGCGGCTGCAGTTGCGTGGTGCGGGCGCGTCGTCGTTGTCGGCTGGAAGTGCGCCGTGGCGCTGCTGTGGTGCGGCTTGCTGTGGATGTTGCGCGGGCCGGCCGGGGCCGAGGACGTGTCCGTGTCGTATGGGGAGGCGGAGGCGGAGGAGCTGGACGAGCTTGACGACGGCGGTGAGGCTGCTCCTCCTGCTGCTGCTGTTGCGTACGAGGGCTGCTGCTGTGCGGATGAGGGCGGCGACGCTGCTTTTTGGAATGCTGATTGCGCGCGGAAGGCGGCGAGGAAGTTGGAGAAGAAGGGCCGTTGGTTGGTCGTGGTCGGCATGGTGGTGAGTGGGTGGGGTGGGTGTGGTGGTGACGGTGTAATCCGTAGGTAGGTGGCTATGGATATGGGGAGCAGGTCGCGGGGAAGCGGCTGCTCATATGAAAGCCGGAGAAGAGGTGAAAGAGTCGTGTTCGCGGCGCGGTGTTTGTTGACCGGAGTCGGTTCAGGCCGCCCGCTTGTGTCTCGGGCAGAGGTATTGAGGTAGTATGCGGCGTGCGGAGTCACCCGTTGTTTGCGGCGCAGTAGAGTTTGAGAGGACGTGGTACTCCTAGGGTCGGATCGACGGTAGCACGAGATTGAGATTCGTCGAATGTGAAACGGACGGAGGCGAGAGGGAGGGGGGGAGGAGAGGCGAGGATGAGGACTGCGGGGAGGCGGAGGAGGAGGAATATTGCGGAGAAAGGCTTGGGGGACGCCTCTTTCACGTTGACGTTGTGGGCCGTCACTTGCCAGACGCCGAGCGAAAAAGAGCCGGATTACACTGATGACGCTGCTGATTGGCTCCGCATCACCGAGCCGGTCCCCTTACCCTACTCGACGACGACAACTCCGTAAAAATATCCCACCATGATGCGTCGTCCCATGTGATGCGGCGACTCGGCTTGGGCCGGCTCTCCCCCCGGCGTCTGGTCAGCTGGCAGCGCACGCACGAATCGGCACTGGCACCTTCTCATACTACCGTCTCACAAATGAATCGATTGCTCTATGGCTGACTAGAGTACACCCGCCCTCCATGTGTCCACCTCGGTACGCGTAGAGTGATATCCGCTTACTGCACAAACTCGCCGTTAGCACATGCCTCGAAACAGCCGTTTGTGGAAACAAGTGTAAGGGTTGAAATGTCAGAAGGAACAATTGGATTAGGATAAAGCTTTCCGCATTGATATCTCGGAGTGAGCTGAGTAAAGTGTGTCATCATGTAGGAGGGAGGAGAGAAGGAAAATTTTGTAACATACCCTATGCGCATGAGCAGAGAGCAAGTGCTTCTCTGCTTAAATGAGTATGAGCCAGCATGTAGCTCCTCTCCCAGCACGCCAGGCCGTGAAAGCTCTGCTCTGTCAGCGAAGCGCAGCAGCCAGCTCCTTAGATCGGGCGCTCATCACGGTTGCATCGCGCGCGCAAAGACGCTGCTGCGAGCGTCAAAGAAAGAGTGTGTGAAGAGAAAGAAGGGCGGCAGTGGGAAAAATTCAGATTTTATGTCTCGCGGCGCGCATCGGCCCGGCGCTGATTGGCTGGCCCGGTAGAGACCAACTTCAACATCACTCCTGCACGCCCGCCCGGCCGCCCATCATCACCCACCCACGCAACAACCCATCGCAGCCTCACAGCTCCCACCCACCACGACAATGGTACCGGCGCACCCTGCCCCCATCCCGCTCTGTCACCTCTCCCCCCAACCCATCTCCTCCCCTCGCAACACCAGCACCAGCACCAGCTCCAGCACCCAGCACCCAGCAACGCCAGGTCCGCCAGCTAACCACCCGCCAGTCCATGCCCCAACACCCCGGCCACCACGGCATGCAGCCCTGGGCCCAGCGGCCCGGCTACGCCTCGTACAAGTCGCCCTACGGCCCGCAGTACGTCCGCCCGCCTTCGTGCCCCAAGAACTTGGGGCTCGCTCCAATTCAATGCCGTTGCTGACGCCCGCTCCCCCTCCCGCACAGGTACAAGACGCAGCTGAACTTCCACGGCATCGACGCCCGCCGCGCCATGAAGTTGTACGTGGCCCTCTGACCCCATTCCGGTCCCACCACCCACCCAGTCTTCGCGGCCGTCACTACCCGCCGTCGGCGGAGGAGCATTGGCTCGCGGCGGATGGAGGAGACGACGGTTGAACAATTGGGCAAACGACACTGAGCGGCAATGAATGCTGACATCGCACAGCGGCACCACGGCCGCGGCCTTCGGCGGCGTCGCCGGCGTCTTTGCGCTTTTCTTCTTCGCTGAGATCCCCCGCGTGCGCAAGGACATCATGCAGAAGGTGCCCATCCTCGGCGACTACTTTGTGCAGGAGATTGCGCCCGAGGACAACCCGTTCTAAGCGCTTCGCGCTCGCGTGCGTGCTTGCTTGCTTAGATGGGGGACGAGAACCGGTGGGGGAAGACGAAGAAGAATCAAGGGGAATAAGACTTGGTTGGAGCGGCGTCTGATGAAGTGGGGACGATTGCATGGGCGAGACCAGGTGCTGGCGTGGACAATTGCTGTTCCTTAGACGTCCGGCGCTGGCTGTACCATATTGCCGTTTGTTAGCGGTTGCGGCGAATAGACTTTCTTTGCGTCTGGCGCCTACACTACTCGTGTGCACCTGGCATTGATATCGTGAAGACGGTTGTACGAGGCCAAACTCGAAGATTGAACCCGAATCGCTAGTATGCTACAGCAACAGCCCCATGCTCATCCCTGGTCGTCATCCTCGGCGTACTCCGCCACGTGCTCTATCTAATTCGTAGGTAACCGGCCGACGACCTCGGCCATCTCGTCATCAGTGTAGATCCTGAAGCCCCTCTCCCTGGTGACGCTGGCCAGCTGGACGTTCTTGGAGTCCAGCTTCTCCTCCATGACCTGCTTCAGCGTCTTGAGGGTCAACACCTCAGCCTCGGCCAGCGTCAACGACTTGTGGAACTCGTTCTGCAGCTCGGCCTGCGCACCCTCCGAACCGGATCCTATGGCCTTGGCATCGTATCTGTAGAAGGTACCCGAGGGCTCGGCGTGGTAGCTATTCGCACGGGGTCAGCGGCGGGCATAATCCATCAGCAAAACGGGCGGGGCAAACTCACAGGCTGGGGCCGTCCTCATCGTAGCCGGCAATGAGGAGCGCGACACCAAAGGGCCGACTCATGATGCTCTCCTCGCCCTCGGCGCCCTCGCCAAAGCGCAGCGCCAGGTCGCAGATGGCCTGGGTGCAGCTCTCGACGCGCAGCGGCTCGGCGTAGTGGAAGGCGTGGTTCTGGCTCTCGACGCGCGCGTGCTCGATCATGCTGCGCGCGTCGGCCTGCAGCCCGCTCATCGCGCACCCAATGTGGCGGTCGATCTCGACAATCTTCTCGACCGACGACGTCTCCAGCAGCGTCGACGTCACGCGCTTCTCAACGCCTAGGATCACGCCTTCGCCCGTCGCCACCTGTCGTCTTGCTGTCAGATAGGGCTGTGTCTGCGGGAGAGGGGACGGCCGGGACCTACGCCTATCGCCGTGGAGCCGAGCTTGATGGCCTCGAGGGAGTATTCGACTTGGAAGAGACGGCCTTCCGGGGAGAAAGTGCTGGACAGGGTCAGCTGAAGCGTCTCTGACGGAGTGGCAGGAAGCGAGGCTCACTTGATGCCGCGATCTGGGATGCGTCAGTCATGTCAGCCGCGGGCAGGGAAGCTGGAGCTGGTGTTTGCTGGGAGCTCACTCACCATATTCCGACCGTGCGATGAACATGTTGGCGGGTGTGCGGGTGACGGGATGGCGTGTCTGGTGGAGTGGTTGGACGAGCCCGCTGCCGTGGGGGTGGTGGGACGGGAGGAGATATTAAAGGCGGCGGAGGGCGGGTTTGCGGTGGGATGGCGTAGGAGCTCTGGTTGCTGCGTTGGAGCTCCAGGCACTGGCGGCGTCGTAGATCGGCCCGCCAAGCCCCGACTACGCTTGACCGTGTTGGGATGCATGATAACAAGTCCGCCTGGCCGTCCGCCTCCACTCCTCCTCACTCCAGCTCCAGGACATTTTGGTTGACAGCATTTCGCAATCGCTCTTCGTCTGCAAGCGCCGCCTTGCTTCTACCATTGAGCGTGCATCATCTTGCCTTTCATCTGTCTTCGGGACTATCACTGACCAGGACGCTAATAGTCAATTGCTTTTCGCTGAACTTCAAGATCAACACAGCTTGCCTTCGTAGACCGAAGAGGCTTCTTGGATCTTCGTGTGGAGCCATCAAAGAGTTTGCGCTTTTCTCTCTTTTCGTTATCTTTCGGACGGCTACGTACAGCCTCCAACAACTTCTTGCGGAAAGCTCTATGAGTATGAGTTTCTTTGATCCGCCCTCAAGCAAGTTCAGGATACTACTAACTTCTACATGCATTCCGTCTTCGCGACTACGATACTGTGGCTTAAAACGGCAAATGATTCTGCCTTTGGACAAGCCAGCCCACAAACATCGTACGGTATGGCGACTGGTTGTTTGGAGACGAAAACAAAAACAGAGACTGCTGATATGTACAATCTCATCACAGGTAGCAGCACTGTGTCTCTGAATGTTTTCTGTCACCGTCTAAAAGCAAATCCGTTCCCATCGCAGCCTGTACGACATCATGCCTGCGTTTGTAGACCTTCCTAAGGAAATTCTCCTGGAGATCTCTAAGGTCTGTGGTCGCAAAGAACTCACGACTCTTGCCTTGACGTCCAAGGCTATGAACTTTGGGGCCACGCGATACCTATACGAGACCTTCAACTTAACATTCGGCCACTATGGCACCAATGCCACCCTTACGCTACTCCTGCGCACGCTTCTGGGTCAACCTTCGCTTAGGGTACGCATCAAGCATGTCCGGCTGACCTATATTCCCGAAACGCGGTTACAAAGAGATTCAATTGCCCACTATGCGTTGCACGCTAAAATGACATATCCTTCGCAGACTGGACATCACCGCAGTATCGAGCCTCCATGTAGCACTAAACCTCAACATATTGCTGAGCCTCAACATAGCTTCCAGAAACAGAACACTAACTCCGAACAAGACGAGGAATTCGAAAAGATAGAGGCTATCAGTTCAACGCTTTTCGAGGCGGCTTCGCAGCAATTCCAGCTAAGCGGAGTCTTAACCGCCTTGGGTCACAACTGGAAGCACCACGTGCGCAAGGGATATGTTGATGGCCTTGTCGTCTTGCTCCTGATTATGCTCACGGATCCAAGATCATTGACCCTGCGAATTGCTCCGGAGAGGAAGATGACTATCCTCAGAAAACTGATCTGGCATGCTCACGACACAAACTTCAGTGCCCCGCTCAACCACCTAGGATCTCTGATACGCATTAGCGATGTCACTGTAGTCCCATACTACAGAGATTGCTTGAACGGAGACCACACTCTTCTGAGAGCCCATGATTTCTGCTACTTTCCCCATCTCAAAGAGATGAAATTATCCCTCCTCGAGCACCCGGGGAAGCCCTTCTCTTGGTTCGCCGGCACGCCTTCGCTCACGAGCATGAAGTCACTGGAGATTGCGCCAGCTTTGATAACCGAAGAGACCCTCGACGCCATCCTCAGCATGATGCCGAACCTGGAGCATCTTCACCTCATGATCCACCGTATGGGACGGAGCCAATGCTGGCTCTCCCCTGAGCTCAATCTGGACGCCTTAGCCCAAGCGTTTTCGCACGTCCAATCGACGCTGAAGACGCTCGTTCTCTCGCTCGCTTTCCTCGAATACCCATGCGAACAAGACAAGCAGGACGCACTGACCGGGACGCTGGGCTGGCTCCAGCCCTTCCGCAAGCTCGAGCGCCTCACCATCTCCCCCGAAGTGCTGTTTGCGGGGCAAGACCTTTGCGGCAGCAACCCCCTCGCGGCGATACTGCCTCACCAGCTGCGCCACCTGACCATTCTCGACGACCTCGACTGCCGCGTGCAGAACAAGTGGACGGCGCGCCGGCCGTGGGGACCAGCATTGCACAAGCTGCTGGTGGCGGCGGGGAAAGGCGAGATGGCGTGCCTGCAGAGCTTGACGCTGCGGGTGGACGGGGCGTGCGTGTTTGGCGAGACGACGGCAAGCACGACGAAGCGCTTTGGGCAGTCGTTTGCGCAGGCCGCGGCGGCGGGTGTGGCGTGCAGCGTCGTGTGTCGCGTGCATGAGGCGCTGGACTGTTGGGGGTTTGGGTGCTTGCTTGCTGGCAGGGGTGGGAGGGTCGAGCCGAATAAGGCGCTGCTTTTGCGGTTGGGCGATCGTCCGTTTGCGTGTTTTAGGTTTGGGGGGGTTTGAGGTGTCGTGGCGGTGATGGTGGTGGGGATTGGTTTCTGAAGGTGGTTTTGGATGTTGCTAGTTTTGGCCATGTGGGCTGTTGTCTCTTTGGTGTCCCCATGGAAACCTAGTTGGGTTGGCGCAAGGCAAGTGGAGAAGAGATCTCGTGGAGGTATGTACTAAAAGCGTCTGTATGCTAAGAAGAATCAGACGAGCCTTCCAGCCGGTCAGCGAGTTTCTTCACATTTCTTAACGCTCATCCGCACAAAAAAGGGATGAAGAGCATATCCAACCGTGAGCACACACGATCGCAATCTCTCGGTCCACCTACGGAGTGGTCTGTAGAGGGCTTTGAAGGCGCTGCGTGCACTCATACATGCTCCTGTAAGTGGGTTTATATTTAAACTTCGACTATTTTATGATACCCATGTAGTACAATCGGCTTATATATGTCACTTGTAGCAGGTTATTTAAAGATTCCGTCGACCTCTGGTCCTTTGTGCACTGGCGCATGGCGTTTTGTGCGCTTATGGCGGCTGACGGGCGTGGTTGCCCTAGTGGTTGCCTTGAGGAAATCGTACACTGTTACCCAAAAGTATCGGCGTCCGAATAGCTGTGGCCTCGAAATCCATATTGTTTCCATACTTAGGATTATACGCCTATGCAGCTACAACCGAACGAAGTTGTTTATGAAAGAATATCATTCGGTTAAGTGGCAAGCTAGGCAGTGTATGTATTCCTATGGAGGCATGCAGAGGGCACGGCTCTAGGGCTGCAATATGCAGTACTACCCAAGAAAATGCCGCTTCGTAACGCAATGAGATAGAAGCCTCGCCCAAATTATCCGTCCTTACCAATAGCCGATGGCTTACGATGCTAGACATAGATTTAGCCTTGGGAGACTCATTTGCCTACTTGTTGCCTACTTGGCATAGCACAACGCAAGACTTTTCTTTTGGGACATAGGTTGTACAGTATCACCTGGAATCCCGAACTAAGCCTTGTTACAATGCATTCGCTGACCGGCAGCTGCTTTGATTGGAAACAAATAAGCCTTAAAGCTGCACCAGTGTACTGTTTAAAAGCTTTTGACTCTCGACTAAAACCTCAAGACGAACATCAGCAGTTATTGATACCCGTCCTACCCACTAACCATGACACTCCCTCCAAGACGAGCTACTCAAGGCTCACTTTCCGGGCATGATGAAGTACAAACAGCCTCCCAGCTCATTCCACCAGAAGTTCCAGACCAGAGCGAGGTTCATCAGCCGAGAGGATTATGGTCTCCACTGTTCCTCCGCCCACATACTCTCGCCTTGTTTGCATGCGCCTACTTGATGCTATCTATTATATTGGCAGCACTAGCTTGGTACTCCTCCATCCACAAAGGAATTTGTGCGGTGAATCTTTCAAATCACTACCTCTGGAATTACGCGCCAACGGCATGTGAGTAAACGCATACGTTGCCAGACAATTAAATACTAATTTCATAGTGTTTACTCTGTTCTCTGTTTTGTGGTCACAAATCGACTACCGCACAAGATCAATAATGCCGTGGGTACTCATGGCAAGAAAGCTACAGACTGCGGACAGGAGTGTGCTTCTTGACTACGTATCCCCCAACTTGGTTTCCGCATGGATAAAGGCCATCAAAGCAAAAGACATACCTGTCGCGATATCAATATTTGGGGCTGTACTCAACAAGTTGTTGATCATCTTGTCTACCAGCCTTTTCACGCTCGACATTGTTAATTATACTACCGCGTCCATAACCACAGAAGGCGGCAAGTCGTTCGTAGCGTCAGCATTCAACGCATCATTAGTCAACCAAGAACCTGTAGCAAGGGTGTTCGGGACCGAACATCTTGAAATGGGTTATACCATAGGAACTTCCAAAAAGTACGCTGCGGAGGTGCCACCCCTACGAAACAGTAAGTATGGTGTCTCATAGAACTCCATCTATGTGCCTACTAATTGTATGAAGGCAGTTCAACTCTGGAGAATACGTCTCAAGTCGATATCATTAGTGCTTCTCTTGACTGTGAAGACGCTGGCCAACTCCAGAACTCATCTATCTCGGCCACAGGCACTGGAGTGCATATTGGATCCTCTCCCAATGGAGATAACGAAACCTATTACAACAACGAACTCTTTTTCGAAAACCACAATGGAACCGAGACAATATATCAAATGCTCCCATACGTTTCTCCCTACCTTGGAGGCTACCGCATGCGGGCCACCCTAAATTCAAGTTCCTGCTCATCAATCCAAGTGGCTGGGGGCGTCCTTGGTTACCCGAATACCCTTATGGATCGATCACCAACACTTAACTGCAGTGATGACAGCTATCGGTTCGTTTTCGGGCTGTATGGTGAGACCTCGACTGGAGAACGCGGTGGTGGCAGCCAGTTCCTAGTGTGCAAGCCTACATATCGGGTGCAAGCGGCTAATATGACATACAAATACGACACTTCGGAAGGGAACAAGTGGACCATTAAAAACTTCACTGGCGACCGGAAACTTGAAAATTTTACAGCAGAAACTATCTTCGAAGGCTTCTATGGGGCAATTAAGGACCTGAACATAACTGTCTTGCTAAACAGAACATCGCCGCAAGCCCACATCGACCCCTTCCTGCATGATTTGGAGCTACTAAAGAGTACACTCATAGAGCTCTACGAAGCCACCACTGCCCAAATCTTGAGCCAGCATCTACTCGTTGAGAACACCAAAACTTTTCAGGTAGCAGAGATCCGGGCACAAAGTCGGCTACAGCTTCAGGGATATGGCTTATGGTCCACGGAATGTGCGCTCATCCTGCTTGCGGTCATCAGCCTCAGTCTATGCTACTCTTTCAAGGCCTCTGTACTCCCGAGGGATATTGGATCCATAACCGGACTTGCAACCATCTTGGCTCGTGACCCCGAATTCATGGAAAGAATTGATGGGTCTGGTTCAAAATGCTTACAAACAATTCGAAGAGACCTTTTTACGACCCAGTTCCAAACAGAAGCCATCTGTAACGATCACGATACGACGGATGTCTTTCGTATTCGACCACTCACAACAGCAAATACGGAAAAAGTCGAGCAAAGTACCAAATTGGACTCTGGTAAATGGTACAATCCATTTGTTGTAACGCGCATCGGAAGACTGTGTACCATCGCTATCGCTGTCATCCTAGTGATCGCACTAGAAAGCATTTACCAGACTTCTATCCATAACCACGGATTTATGACGGTTGCTATTCAAAAACACGCCGAGTACACTTCGCGATACATCCCTGCGGCCATTCTTGTTTTATACAGCCTATTATTCAGCGCACTCGATTTTGAGCTCAAAACGTTTCAGCCATATCTAAACCTCCGAAAGGGATCCGCCACAAGTCAGATCAGCATCGATGAACACTACCTCGGACTCTTAGGTCTCCATGGATTATGGAGAGCATCCAGGAAGAAGCAATATTGCATCGTTGCTACCACCATAGGCATGTTTGTAACGCACTTCCTCACTATCATAGCTAGCGGCCTTTACACGGTCACTAGCGTTTATCAACAGAAGCCTATCCAGGTTCTCCAGATGGATCGAGTCAACATAGAAGCGTTCAGCGACATCAATCATATAAGCTACCAGGAAATTGGCATGATCGCGGCGACTTTGGTCCTCGACAAAGATATGGATCTTCCTCAATGGTCATATGATTCATTCATAGTTCCCACTATGGACCTGGTTACCCAGCTCGACAAAGATGAGCATTGCCAGGGTGTCACAATCACTGTTCCAGCAACGCGAGCCAACGCTAATTGCACAGTGATAATACCCTCGAATGTCAGTATTGAAGTTAACGATTTTAATCAAAGACGAGAATTTACCATGGACTTTGATTTCCTTTCAATTTGTGGAGGCGACCCGAGGGGTAAAAGGCCTTTAAAAATAGACGTATACGATCGCCCTACTGGATTCGCCTCTTGGAATGATAGAAGCGATGACTTCTTCCACTGTCCTGAATACCTTGTTGTTGCTGGGCATGCGTACCCAGAGAATAGGAGCTGGAACCTACGTGCTCTACATTGTAGGCCGTACCTGGAAAGTATCGATGTACGCATCGAGCTGTCCTGTCCTGGTCTCATCGCCAATCGCAAAGTTGTGCCACTTCTAGACGAATCAACACGGAAAACTTTATCAACGGCTGAGGTCCCCGGTATCGATCAGAACCTCCTACTACCGTATATACGTTCGGAATTAGAAGGAATAGACAGATACCTTAAAGCCAGCGACGGGAGTTTCAATGGTACTGTGGACGGATTCTTTGGCACTGTAGTCCGGCGAGGGACGCCCTTGAAAAGCCTAACCAACAACTCCGAATCCCTGAAAGCAGCCGTGGAAGACATGTATCCGCGAATCATGGCTCAGATTCTGAACCAGAACCGCGTCAAAGCCGATCCGAAAATATACAATGGGACAGCACAATTCCAAAATCGGTTTCGACTTGTCCAGAACGGCGCATCAACGCGCGTGCTACAAGCGCTGCTTGTAGCAATGGCTCTTTGCATAGCAGCTACGCTAATGGGCAGAAGCACAAAAGGCGTATTACCGAAGAATCCTCGCAGCATTGCAGCTGTTGCTAGCTTGTTGGCTGGATCATCTTTATTGCACGACGACATAATTCCGCCCGGTTCGGAGTGGCTTAGCGATGAGGAACTCGAGTGTAGGGAACTCTTCAAGGGCCTGGCATTTAGCATTGGTTGGTGGAAGGATGAGGATATGGATATAGATGGGCAGGAAAGCGTAAGTCGGTTTGGAATTGATATTGGCAGTGTGGATCGAAGAGACGTTTAGTCCTTTAGTAGTAGTTTGTTTAAGTTGTAGGCGGAATGTTTATAGGTTGGATTTAGCAGTGCTTAATTAGCTAGTATGTAGTTAAAGTGCGGAATCGACCAATCGAACTTCAGTAACTGGATCAAACCTAGTATCTAGCGTTAAATTACCTACCGGTAAACGAACCTTCGCTTAACGGTAAGGTTGATTTACAGGTACTAGTGTGGTAGAGCTGACTGCTCTTTAGTTTTTTACGTATTCTTCGCTAGTAGGTCGTTCGTAGCATAACTTCGAGCTAGTAGTAGGTAGGTAAGAATTAATAACTAATTTTTATTTACTACTTTTTACCTTTAGTTAACTTTCTATCTCTATAAATTTATCTTTATTATCTTATAGGAATCGGTCTTTACGGCCCTACGTACCTAGGCCGGCTACTAGAGCTACTAGGCCTTTTAGTATAGTCGTACTACTACTACTACTACTACTAGATCTGCCGCCCTCGTTCGCTGCGCCTACTATAGGTCGAGGTATATAAAGGCAGCGCCTCTAAACTAGAAGTTAGACCGCAGGGTATAAATTAAGTCTAATCTACGTCTATAGTTCACTACAACGACAGTATTGTTTGTAACGGCATACTTTTAGGCCTATTATTTTGATTGGCACGCTCTGCATCCCCTATCCTATTTTGTTGGAGCGCGTGCGACAGTGGAACGGCATTGCCATGTGAAAACCGTAGTAGTTGTGTTACTTATGGGGCGGTATATTGCAGCCTGCGAGGTAGCAAAGCTGAGGCACAATGACGCTGTTCTTCTACGGCGGCGTATCTTCCGCGCCTTCGCCTTCTGAATCCTCGCTGTGGATGTCCTGTTAAATTGTCGGAATAGGCTTGAAAATATTTACACTCAGCTCCGATCATGAGTATGGTAAGTAATTTATAACCCTAGAGCATGAAGGTTATTAACAACCCTGTTTTTAATGGTGAAAGGTACAGCAACATTTGTCTAGCCACTCTAAAGCTTAGTCCATCTGCTACTATTCTAATCCTACGGGTCACGCAGAATTCGTTCAGTGTTCACGTCGCAGTGAAACGTATTTATCAGCGCAGGCGCATAACCATCCACTTTGGGACAAATAAGTCGCCTAATCATGGCATTTCCGATCGACAGCAGCCTGACGATAGTCAGCGTAGCCAACCAGAGTAGACTTCCCAAGGCCAGTAGCGTCAGGATCGACTGCCGGCACCTTTCAAAGAAGCGGCACCACACACATGCATGCACTGCCAAAAGATTATTCTTCGGCCTCCCCAAAGCCAGCGGCGCTTGCTATCGTTGCGAAAAGATGAAGTTACATTCAAGTCCGAAGGATGTCTACGCAAAGCCAAAGATAGGTGCACATTTATCCAGTGGGCCTTGGGCACTCGCTTCTGCTACACTGAAACCATGCGCAGTGCGCCTTCTTTCGAACACTTTATAAAGTTCCGGATCACAGATCTTGAAGGGGAACATGGGGTATTCACGACGGTAGAGAGATCAGAGGTTCTCACAAAGTCAAGCAACATGTACAAAGTGTTCAACGCCGCGTGTTTCACCAGTGCAGGTAAGTCAGTGGTGCTTGACATAAAGAATGTTAAACCAGATTACGCGACTAATATTTGACTTTCCAGACGATCCAGCAGCGGCCTTGATTCCAGCTAGGCCGCTAAACAGAGACATCGCATCCAGCTCAAGCTTTATTCAAGCTTCTAGGTGGCTGGCGACATGCACGATGCACCACCAAGAGCGGGTCTTCGTTCAAGCCCACGAGGCTCATCTTCGTTGGCTTCAGCAGAGGTCTTCCTAGACTCGTCATAACGGAAGGAGTGGACGTGGCTTCATACGCAGCTCTAAGGTAAATTTAAATTGACTGAGCCATCTCTACCTAGCGGAATAGAAGCTGACGCAAGCAACGTGGAACCAAAGCTACTGTTGGGGCAACGCGAAGCAACGAAGGACGGTAAAAGGCAATCTAGCTTCGCGCTGTGCCCAGCTTGACCTGGAAGAGATACCGCGCACCATTCGGGACGCCATATACACGGCACGACAGCTCGGGATCGCATATCTCTGGGTCGGCCAAGGCCGAACTAGACCATATATACAGCCCTACATACCGGCATCTTCGTACAGTACCCCCTCCCTCGACATTCTGGATCATGCGCCTCTGTCAAACGAACGTTATGCTCCTTCCCACGTCTGACACCGGAGCTGTTGTCAAGAGAATTGGTGTCCCGGGCCTTAGGACCGCTTACCACTCTCCTAGTTAGTTACGGCAAATACAAAATTGGGCGCAGAAGCACGAACGCCGGCTAATCACACTTATATAAGATATATAGATTTAGGTTGACAGTCCTTTGTTTGAGCGTAGGCAGTGAGACTTATCAAAGGGGTTTTAGCTAATGATAGCATCTGATACAAAACATAACCCACACTCAATTACAACACAACAACATCCAATATAAAGGCGTAGGCACAGTAATCAGTAGAGATGACCTTTACGTAGTGTACAGCACATGTCCAGTAACCCATAGCAACAACAACAGCAACAACAGCAACCCATATCATACCATCATAAATTCATTCATCCAACCGTAGATACAGTAGATACAGTAGATAGATAGATACTTCCCATCAAGTTCATTTTCCTCAGTTTATACACGGCCTCCCCCTCTCCCTCTTCGCTCCTCCCTCTATCTCCCCCTCCCTCTCCATCCCCCACCCTTCCATCCCACCTTCCCACACACAAGCGCGCATACGTACGCGACACACTCAACTACTGCAAACTCGTTACACCCAGTTCTGTCAAAAAGCCACACGCACACACGCAGGTACGCAGCGCACACAAAAACGAAACCAAGCAACGAAAAAGCAACGGCCAGAGAAAAGAAGAAACAGCACACATCACTCAGCAAAAACTCACTAATAATCCACCAGCTGCAGCCGGCGTCCGATATTCCTGCGCACCACCTCCTTGCTCTCGCTCATGGCCGCGGCGTCGGCTCTGTCCGCGCGCGCCTTGAGCGCCGCTTGCAGCATGCCCGAGTCGAAGAAGCCGTCTGTGTTGTGCGGGGGTGATGCGTTAGCTTTTTGTGGTTTGTTTTATGTTTTGCAGTTTGTGTTCTGGATTCGGGGGTTTGGTTGTGGGCTGAAAGGGAAAGGAAGTGAAGTGGAGTGAAAGGAAAAAGGGGAAAGAAAAGAAAAAGAAACTTACACCCCCCCAACTCGTCATCGCTCTCGCCCTCCCCCGCAGAACCAGTCCGCGCACTCGCCCTCTCCGCCTCCCCCTTCCCACCCACACCAGCAAGGCCATTAACCCCCGCACCAACACCAACAACCCTGCCCCTCGCCTTGATCCTTGCATCCGCCGAATCCTCTTTCCTCGCGCGGGCAACATCCGCCTCCCGGGCACGACTCGCGCCCTTCGCGCCACCACCGCTCGTCCCCCTCCGCCTCGTCAAGCGCAGCAGCTTCCGCATCTCCAAGAAATACGCATCTAGGGCGTCGATAAAGCGCGCGGTTTGGCGATGCTTGCTGCTAGCGCAGATACTCACGCTGCCGTCTTTGATAATGTAGCCGATGCCGAAGCCGTCGCCGCTGGTAGGGCCGAAGCCGAATTGGCGGAGAGATGGGTTCCCGCAGTTCGACGTCGACAGGATCGTCGTGTTTAGGCGGTCCCAGCCGCTGTCCGCGAACAGCGCTGGCATGCTGTGTTGCGCGGCAGCGGCTGTGGTGGGGGACCGCGGCGGCGAGCGTGAGATGCTCATGCCGGCGCCGGCGCCCTCGTCCGAGAGCAGCGAGGCCCGTCCGGGGCTGCCGACGACCGCGTCCGAGCCTACCGCCCCGTCAGACATGCCTGTCGGGCTCGACGGCCCGGTGCTGTACTCGAAGCTGGCGCCGTAGGAGGAGCTGGTGGCGGCCTCCTCGTCCAGCGCCCGCTGCCAGATGCAGTACAGCGCGTAGAGGTGGCGGTCCTGGCCTTGCGCCTTGGCGCACTCGCGCGTCACGGCCGTGTGGTTTTCGCACGCGCGGCGCAGCGCGTCGACCTTGGCTTGCGGCGGGTTTTCGCCCCAGAACGTCTGCACGAACTCGACTGAGGCTTCCGTCACGGGCCGGATGGCTTCCGTGCGCCCGTGGTAGAACATCTTGGTCATGGCGGGCTCGTAGACGCACTCCATGCGACCGTAGAGGCCGTAGTAGGCGGCCTGGAAGGCCATCTGCACGAAGGCGTCGGGCGAGAAGCCCATCGACGTCATGAACGTCTTGCCGTAGTGGCCGAACTCGAGCGTCTGGAACTCGTTCTGCTGGATCAGGTCCGCCAGTCGCGTCTCGGCGAACCGCAGCGCCGTGCTCAGCTCCGGCAGCATGTCCCACTCGAGCTTGTGCGGCGTCGTGTTGACGTCGCCAAACGACGCCGGGTCGCGCTTCGACGGGTCCGGCGACTCCGACGCCCACAGGCTGGGCGCCTGCCCGTTGATGGAGCGCGCGAACCGCAAGATTGTGTCTGTGTATACGTCGCTTGCGAACCGCAGCACCGTGTGTCCGTCCACGCCCGTGTGCTCAAAGTTGATGCCCGCGCTGCCGTTCTTGCACACAATGATCTGCAGCTTGTCGTACCAGCGGTTCGTGCACGTGCCCACCTGGACGCCCTTCTCGACCTTGTTGGTGCCGCAGAGCATGTTCATGCACAGGTCGGCGCTGGTCAGCGGCTCCGTGTAGTCGAGGCAGAGGATGAAGAGGGCCGAGTCGATGATGTTGAGGCAGTCCGAGTTGTTGGAGCCTTCTTCGCGGTGCAGCACGTCTCGCAGACTCGACCACACCTTGCGGTTCTCCGTGCTGAGAACGCCCAGCGCATTCTTTGCCGTGTCCTGGATGGGAATGTGCGACGCGTCGTCGACGATGACTTGCAGGTTGAGGGCAATGTCCTTCTCCGTCATAATGAGATCGTTGTTGTCGTCCAAGACGTCGAACCAGTAGAACTGTCCGCGGTCGAGCACGACTATGTGCTTAGCGTAGGGGTCCTGGCCAATCTGACAGCCGTTTTCCGTCGGTATCCTGGCGGTGCCAAATAGTCTCGAGTACTGGTACATGCAGAGCGGCTGGCCCTTGACGTTGTCGGGCGGCAGCTCTTCTTTCCGTACGGCGCGAACGAACGAGAGGGATGAGACAACCAGGGACGCTGCTCTGGTGACTTGGTTGTTTCTTGCGGGGGTAGGGTCATCTTCCAGCAAGAAGAAGGGGTTCAAGTTCAGGACAACGGGGTTGTCGAAGTTCAGATACGAGTCGTACCCTTTGTGATGTTAGTACTCGCATTTTTGGGGTTATGCTCGTCAGTGACTCACAGAACTGCTCAATGTAATTCGCCTTGCCGGCGGCGTAGTTCTTCAGCTTGTCCTGCAGCTCCGGGCCGTCACTCTTCAAGAACTCGCGGACGGCGGCTTCGCTGTCGCGGTACTCCTTTGCGGACTGAAGGGGTTTTAATGCGGCCAGGTACTTCTCGCATGACGACTCCAGGTCGGGGATGGGGAGCTTGGGGAGCTTGTCCTGGGCGGCGAACGTGACGCCGGGCTTGGACTCGGGGTTCGTGTCGGCAGCGAGAGGGTTCGTCTCGGCTTTCGAGTAGTCTTTGGTAAGGGTAGACTTTGCCGCCTCAGCGGAGCGGTGTTCACCGTTCATCTTGACGGTGCCGGCGTTGGTCGTAGTAGTGGTGGTGGTGCCGTTGCCGTTGGATAAGGATTCGGCGAGAGAGCTGGGCTGGGTAAAGGTGCGGACTGCCATGGCTCGGGGTATCAGAAATCAAGCGTACAGAGGAGAGATTTGGGTGGGAATGTTGAGCAACCGCAGGGCACTGCGGTAGAAATAATGACAGTCTTGGAGGCAGTAAGAGGGCATGGAGCGCTTGGGCTTTGGGCATGTGGAGGGCGCGGGAACGGATGGGCATTTATCAGGGTAGGACCAAAGCCATGTGAAGGCGTAGAAGCCACCCCCACATTCACGCCCATCCGAGCCCATGCCACCGGGGTCGGCGAGACGGAGAAGAGAAGCGACTCACCTGCGCCTAGCGGTGGCCTCTGCGCCGGTAAGCGGCTAGCCGACGCCTTTTATCGAGCCCCGGCCGGGAGGGAGGCGGGCGGACGAGAGGAAGCTGGTGTTGGTTAGGTAGCTTGGGGGGGCAGGGATCTGACGAATGGAGGATCCGGCTATGCGCCGCGTAGGGCTGGAGACGCAGAGACGGGTATGCTGTGCGTGCGAGTGTGCTTGGGAGTGCAGCTTGCAGGATGACCTCTCACGCGCGTTGGCTGGGTTTTGTTTCCAAAGGATGAGGATGCTTGAAGGGCTCGTGACGACTTTGAACGGCGACTACTTCTAACTACAGAACCTTTGGCTGGCCGTGAATGGCCACGGGGTATGGCGCAGCAGCAGCACTAGGTAAGGTGGGGGAAAGTAGCTTGCCTGGGGTCGCGAGCCTGGATGTGTGTTTGGGGGTGCACGGGCGGTCGAAGGGAACGCAGGCCTGGACGTCATCGTCACCTCGGGCGCCGCCTCGGGTCTCGCCCGGACATCCATCGCGGCCATCAGCTGGATCGACGAACGGATGGACGTGACGCGCAAACGCGCCAACACAAGCTGATGACGGATCTGCTGCACGTCGCGCCCGACTTCGACGCCGCCCAGTTCGCCCACCTGTTGCCCTCGCTCGACCGCCACCACCTCACCACTGCTGACCTGCTCACTCTCGATGCTCTCGACGTCGCCAAACGCGCCCAGCTGCCTCTCGCAGAGGTGCGTCGCCTGGTCGACGCCCTCATAGCTGAGCTACGCGTCGACGAGCAGAAGCACGACGACTGGCGCGCCATCAGCACCCTTGATGCCACGCTGGACGCCGAGCTAGGCGGCGGCATCCCCGCAGGCTATGTCACTGAGATAACCGGCGAGAGGTACGTGAGCAATCCACTCTCGCACAACAAGAGCCCAGACTAACAAACCACCAGCGGCGCAGGCAAGACGCAGCTCCTGCTCACGCTCCTTCTCTCCACGCAGCTAGCCCCGCCTGCCGGCCTTGCCAAATCCGCCGTCTACATCTCCACCGAGTCCGCGCTCTCCACGCCGCGCCTCCTCCAACTCCTCTCCTCGCACCCGCGCCTCGCGTCCCTGCCACCTGAGGACAAACCCTCCCTCTCCCGCGTCCTCAGCATCCAGACCCCGGACCTCGAGTCCCAGGACCACATCCTGCGGTACCAGCTCCCAGTAGCCATCACGACGCACAACGTCGGCCTCGTAGTCATCGACTCGGTCGCCGCGAATTTCCGCGCCGAATTCGACCGCGGAGGCGACGATGCCGGTAACAGCAAGAGCGGCGGCGGTGGTGGTGGAGGAGGAGCGCAAATGGCGCGCCGCTCGGCCCAGCTCGTCGCCCTGGGCGCCCTGCTCCGCAACACGGCGCGCGCGCACAACGTCGCCGTCGTCGTCGCGAACCAAGTCTCGGACCGCTTCGAAGCGCCGCCGCACCCGTACTCGCAGCCACAGACGCAGGCCCAGGCCCAGCCGCACAACGACGACTTGCTCCGCACGCCCGCCCACCGCGCCCTCACGCTCGACCACCAGCAGCGCTGGTTCACGGGCTGGGGCGACGGCGACGGCAACGTCAGCGCGCCCCGCCACGGCCTCAAGACGCCGGCGCTGGGCCTCGTCTGGGCGAACCAGATAGCGGCGCGGGTCGCGCTGGTGAAGGTGCCTGTGTGGGGCGGTGGCGGGGCGGGGAAGCCGACCAGCGTCATGGAGGCGGTGTTTGGACGGGGAGAAGGGGACGCAGGAGACGAGGAGCGCCAGGTCGAGGTGAAGCGGTGGCGACGGTGGATGCGCGTTGCGTGGGCGGCGTGGGCGGCGGGGTCGGAGGGCCCGGGCGTCGAGTTTAGGATTGAGGGAAGGGGTATTGTGGGGAGGGCGAGGGGTAAGGGGGAGGAGGAGAAGGATGGGGATGGGGATAGGGGTGGGGTGGTGGAGGTGGAGGTGAGTGGGGAGTTGAAGCAGGGCGGTGGTAAGACAGGTGGAAGAGGGAGAGAAAGGTGCTGAAGAATCGAAGAAAGGAGATGCTGGCGGCAACGAAGGATAAGGAGAGGAAGACACGGCGAAGTAGATAGATAGACGCACCGCGAGTTTTCTTTTAGACTTACCTTACCTACAGAGGAAACCACGCCTTAGATCTAGATGTACATACATGCATGCATACATACATACATCCATAGATACATATCCTCAAACAAGCCCATCACTCTTGCACGTACTCACAACACATCATTTGTATACCGCAAGTATAGACATGCTGGTATGTAAGTACGTATGTATGCAGGTAAGTAAGTAGACAGACAAGACAGATGAGTCTAACCCCTCCCCAGCCTCGCCTGCCTCGCACTCCTCGCAGGCTTAAACGCCCTCCTCGCCCTTTCATTCCTCCCCCCTCCCACCTGCACACCCTCCATCGTCGTCGTCGCCGGGTCCGGCGCATCCAACGAAGTATTATACCTCGCGCCCTCCGGCAGCACCTTAAACTGGACGGTGCGGTTCCCCTCCCTGAAGTCACTCGTCTTGGGGCCTTTCGTCAGATACGCCTCGCCCACGACCTCCTTGCCAGTAACGAGGTCTCTGTCCGCGAGCGCGCGCTCAAACAGCTCGAGCGAGGCCAGGGGCTGGTAGAACGGGACCTCGTGGCCGCTCTCGAAGACGCGGACGAAGGCGAAGTTGGCGGCCTGGCGCACCTGGCCATGGGTGACGTTGTCGCTCGTGACCAGGTCCGCAAACCCGGCATCCGCGTAGCCAGGGGCGGCGATCTCGTCGGCGACGGCCAGCCCGCCCAGCCAGTTGCAGTTGAAGTCCGCGTCGCCGAAGTAGAGGACCACGTAGACGTTTTGGCGGAGCAAGGTCTGCACGGCCTCGATCGTCCCCATGCGGCGGTCGTCGTCGCCCGTGCCGCTGAAGGCGGTGGAGACGGCGGGGGAGAAGGACGAAAAGTTCTGGAACGCGCCGATGGCGGACTGGACGTGGGGGGTGTTGAGGTAAGGGACCCAGTGCGAGTAGGGGAAGGGGTCGGGGGTGAGTTCGCGGAAGTCGTATTCGTCTCTGCCGGAGTAGAGGGAATACAGGCCCTCGACTTCGTTGGCGCAGAAAGTGTCGGCGGCGCTGCACACGGATGCGAGGCCGCTGGCGTAGCAGTGTTTGGTTTGGTCGACGCAGTTGCCTGGCCCGTACAGGTTGTTGTACCATTGCTCGGCGACGGAGGCGTTGAACGGCTGCGTGTCGTACGTGTGGCCGGGCGAGATCGAGAAGTTGTAATAGGCTTGGTATTGGAGGAGTGGATCGAACCACCCGTTGCCAATTAGCACGGACTCGAGCTGGATCTTGTGCGCGCCGGTGATGTTGAGCGCGTTTTGCTGCTCGATGTATTCTGCGGGGTGGGGGAGTCAGCATGTGTGTCTGCCTGTCTGTCTGTCTGGCTGACTGGCAGGTTTTGGGTACGGTGGTGGGTTCTATGGAAGGGGTTGCGGTGGACAAATAAAGCGTCACTGTTTGCGTACCATTGAAGACAGGCCCGTAATGCCCGCCATAGCTCTCAGTGGTGAAGTGGAAGCCGTGGCGCGAGTACTGCGGAAACGCGCCCATGAAGCCCTGCAGCGTCTTCCAGAAGTTTGGCGCGGCGGCGTCCGTGGCGTTGGCCGTCAGCGTCAGGTTCGGGTACGAGTAGGTGCCGCAGTCGGCGGCGTAGCTGGGGCAGCTGGTCCCGTTGGGAAGGACGATGATGTCGTCTTGGCTGGACGTGTAGCCCGGCACAGGGATCGAGTACGAGAAGCCGACCTGCGTGGGCTGGTCGATGTACAGCTAATCGGTTGTCAACTTCACCTTGTCCGCGTATAGCCATAGATTATGCTAGCTCACCATGTTGCTGACGTTGTTCCACGAGTACGGGTTATTGTAAACATTGCCATCTTTGTCGATACCGCAAGGCCCATTCTCTTCAAAAAGACCAATCATCGAAGAAGAGCCCGGCCCGCCATTAATCCAAACCGTCAACGGCGCGGTCGTGGGATCCTTGTTGCGCGCCTCAAAGAACCACCTGCGTCGTATGTCTATCAGCAAGCGCTCACACACGACCCGGAGAGGGCGCGTCGCACGCACCAGAAAATGTGCTGGTCCTCAGCCACGTCCGCGTAGCCCGAATAGCTCTTGACATTGGGATCGAGCTCGCAGATGCCCGTCGGCACTTCCTTGTAGCGCACATTGATGCCCGCGTACCCGAGCTTCTTTGTCAGGTCCGTCGGCGCGGGCACGAACTGCGCTGAGGCGGCAGGGAGGAGCAGCAGCGCGACACCGCCAGCAAGAGACAGCATGGCCGCGGGAAAGAAGCAATTGCAGCGAAAGGACGAGGAGGAGCAGGGCGGGGGCAGCAGCGCACACGGCTCCAGCCGGAGCCCGCCATGCTGTCAGTACTTATGTATATCACCCGGCGACGCAAGAGTGGAGAGCATGGCGTGCGACGGGGCGGCTTGCAGCTAACTGCCTTGCTGGGAAGGTCGATGCAGCTGTGCCCTCTGCCCGTGCTGTCATCTTGCATGCAAATTATATGAGGCCGCGATAAGAGACGCGTGCGACTCAGGAACCCGCGCGAGCGATCGCCCCGCCCCGCTGCCGCTAGGCTTGGAAGGGAAGGTCCGTCGTTGATTGAAGCTTCGGCAGGCATTTCATCGTATCTTGGCTCCAGAGCATGTTTCGTTTTGATATCCACATCTTTTGACCGTCGTTTATCGCCGTGTGGGCTCACATGGCTGGTAGATAGCTAACACTGGTACCGTGGCGTTCGTGGATTCGATATATGTCTTTCAATGCCTGAAGCCAAGTATTCTTAAAGTTATAAATAACTAATGCATGCAAGAGCTTATGGCTTAGAGGACCCCTAAGGCGGGTATTACTTTTGTCTTCAAAGGTATCAAAAATACGTGCGTTTATGTATCTGAGTGTTTCAGTGAACGAGGATTAAGAAAGGTGTGGTTCTAGCTGATAGACTGGTTAACTTTAAGCATTTGCAAAAAAGAAAAAATACCGTCCATATTCGAGCGGTACTATTTCCAGTATAACTTTTATTATCTATAGTAAACTGAGAAACAATGCTTAATCTACCTACCACCACTAGACATAACACCATGCACAGCGTACAGCAACAACAACATACGTTTTAAACAACCACACACACAAAAAAAAAAAAAAAAAAAAAAAAAAAAAAACATAAAAATCATAGTTCGTAACATAACCCCTCCCTATTCTACCTCCCCTACCTAATCTACCTACCTACCCGCTTACCCTCTCTACCTCCACGACACTCCAAAACAGTACCCTACCAGCACAAACACCACACACCACACGCAGTAGTAGAATACTTTCGTAAAGAACTAAAACAGAGGGAAAGAAAGCGCGTAAACCTCACTCGTTTGCATTCCAACCCCTCCCCTCCTCGTTCTATCCTACCTATCTACTACTCCAAAACTAAAACCCAACAACACAACAACACATACACCCCTCCCAGCAAAAAGACGACATGGCAATACGCAACAACAATAAAAGTCGCATTTTCCAGCTCATCACTTCCTCCAGAATCCCGCTCCCCATCTTCTCCATCTACCCCATCACAACACCCTACCCCCCACCCCCTACCTCCTACCCATCCCTCTCTTTCCTCCCTAGCCCCTACCCCACAGCACCAAAACACAACCCACCCACCCTCTCACCCACCCAACCCGCCGGACAGAGACACACACACACCGCCACGTCGCCATATAGCTCATAACCCCATCCATCGTGTAATAGTACATATATGTTTTTTGCAATCCATCCATCCATCCATCCATTTCTCTATCTGAAAAACCCCACCCACCCCATCCCCACTAGGTAGTTCAGAGAAGAGAGAGAGCCACGAATACCACGCACCATATACCACGCACACCACGCTCCAGAGCATTTTCGCATTCAAAAGAGAAGCAAGAAAAGCAAATAATAGAAAAAGAGAGAGAAAAGAGGAAAAAATTGGGAAATTGGGTGAGAAAAGGTCGAGCCCCCCAGGAAAAAAGAGAAGAAAAAGAAGGCTTCCCGGCTGCGTCTGCGTCTGAGCCTCAGCCGAATCCTTCATTTTTTCCATCCTCCGCCACCATCATATGCTGCACTGAGCCCTACACTACCACCACCATTTCATCTCTCGATTTCGACTCCAATCCACCACGCTTAGAGAGCTCCTGCCTCGGCCGTCTGTGCACCGCCCCTACCGCGCCCAGTGCCACGTCCACGTCCGCCGAACCCACGTCCGCCACGGAAACCTCTGCCGCGGCCGCGACCGCGGAACCCGCCACGGTAGTTGTCGACGCTGCCCTGACCGAAAGTCTCCAGGTTCTTGCGGCGCTCCTCGCTGCGGAACTCGGAGCCGCCCATGCGACCCCTACACTCCTCGCGGTCTTTCTGCTCGCTCGAAATATTGTCGAAGAACGACGATGTCCTGTTGTACGATGCCGGGATCACCACAGGCTCGCTCTCCTTGGCGCCATTCGCGCCGTTCAAATCGAAAGCGTCACCGCCCTCCTCGCCAGGCGTGCCCAGGGGGCTGCCCGTCGCGATGGCCTCCTTGACCAGATCCTGCTTGTTGAACTTGGCGTTGGAAGTCTCGAAATCAAAGTCCGTTCCCACCTCGACAGCCCTGGTTTGCTGATCCCTGGGCGCGCCGCGACGGGGGCCGCGGCCACGGTGACCGGCAGCGAAACCACCCGTACCAGGCTGCTTGGAATGACGGATGCGGTCGTCGGCGCGCATGTCGGCGACCCTTTGCGTAAGGTTCTGGATGGCGGCTTCACCGTCGTTCTTGGGCTGAGCCTGCGGTTGCTGGGGCTGGCCGGTCCTGAGCTTGGCCATTGCCGCTGCCACAGCAGCAGTGGCGGCTTGCGTCGCATCCTGGTAGTGAGGACCACCCTGAGCGTGCTGAGCAGGAGCAGCTTGAGGCTGAGGCTGAGGCGCAGCGGCGGGGGCAGCAGCCCTCTGTCCGGGTGTCGCGAGGGGCACCGCTGGGATGATACGACCGGGAGTGCCCTTAAGGCCCGTAGGCGCCTTAGGGCCAGTGGGGGGAGCAGCGGGAGCCGCAACAGGCTGGGGAGGCGCCATCGCGGCAGATGGGTCGGGCTTCGATTCGACCGGAGGTGGCGGGGGCTGAGCCTGAGCAGGCGCAGGCGCGGGCGTACCATCCTTGCTCGCCGGTTGACTGCCAGGCACCTTGGGCGCAGCGTCCGCTTCAACAGCATTTTGCTGTTCCTCATCATTCGCACCAGGTCCCATGGGGCCAGGCGGGCCAGGAAGACCAGGCTTGGAGCCAGGGGGACCGATGGGCATCTGCACAGGATGAGGAGAGAAAGGTCCCGGGGGCCCCGGAGGGAAGCCTTGGCCCGGAGGCGGGTACCATCCCGGAGGAGGAGCCCCGTAGGGCATGCCCGGGTATCCGGGGAATCCAGGAGGGCCAGCTGGGAAGCCACCAGGGCCGGGCGGGAAGCGCTGGTTCTGGAACGGCGGGTACGGTCCGGGAGGGAAGTTGGGGTAGGGCGGGTTGTTTGGCTGCGCGAAATTGGGCGGGTGAGAGTGCTGGTTCTGCGGAGTCGCTTGAGGAGGGCGGGCAGCCTATAAACACACTCGTCAGCGCCAGCCTTAGACACGCAATCGGCTCGAAAATCGAGTGGCAAATGCTGCGGTCAGAAGGAAGGCAACGGAAATATCCACACGGTTTTGCGCTCTCGGTGGTATAGTATAGTGTTTACATCCGAAATGCTTCATCATGCAGCAGAGGGCATAATCGAGGGCGCGACTTACTCCGAGGATGGCAGGGTCGTTGGGCATTGGGGGCGGCGTGGGCTTGGGCGGCTCAGCCTTGTCCTCTATCCTGAGGTCCTTCACATCGCTGCCGCGGAAGACAATGTACTCGTAGATGTTCTCGGAGGCGGGGATCTCGTCCTGGCCGTTACGACGGCCCTCGGTGCCGTACGAGGTGACATTCTCGAGCGCGACGGTCGAGTTCTCAGAGTTGATCTCGTGGAGCGTACCGACGTATCTGCAGGGGCGGCGTGAGCTTGGGGTCGGCGGACAGCGACGAGGCTCGGGGGCTTACCTGATGTCGCTCTTGGATATCAGGGATATGCGGGCTCTAGGCGCGATGTCTGGTCAGAACAGTGGACAGCGTGGGGAGGCGTGCTTGACATCTCACCCGATGTACTCGGACATTTTGGTGACGGGGTGCCAATGGCGGAGAGAGTAGCAGAAGCGGGGAGCTTGAGGGCCGCTCGATGGGTTGTGGGCTAGAGAGATGACGGGGGGTTGGTCGGACAAGCGTGTGCGTGGAGGAAGCAAGCTCGCTACGTCGCAGAGCGGAAGCAGCGAGCGGGCGAAGCTTCAAAGCTCCCCCCCGGTCAGCTGACCTCCGCACCTATCATCGCCAGTAACTTGCTAACTATCCAAGTAACAAATCCCCACCATGGCCGCCGCTGTAGAGTCCGCGTCGCCTTCTTCTTCCATCTACGCCCAGGTGGACAGCTACCCGTGGGACACGGATGCTGAGTTCCAAGGCGGTCTCAGCGCCATTCTGGGCTCCAATCCGCCCTCTGACCGAGCCGCCGAGCTGACACTGCGCGCCCGCTGCTTCTATTACTCCAGGTAGCAGCTCCTAGCCGCCCGCGCCTTGTCCACCTCCCCGCATTTGAAATCCCTAACGCGTCCTGCAGGAAGTTCAATGCTTCCGTCGACTTCGACGCGTACAAGGCATATCGCGCGAGCATAGGCGCCCCACCTCCCTCGCTCGCCGCCAACGGCCCGGCCACCGCGCCCGCGACAACATCAACTCTGCCCGATCCCGCTCCAGCTTCTTCGTCCGCACCCACCGCGCCCGCGACTGTTTCCGCCGTCACTGCACCTTCCGCCGCCGCTTCCGCCACTGCTTCCGCTGCCGTCCCGCCTGACGCGCCGTACCCGACGTCCTTTGCGCACATTGTCGAGCTCATCACGACGGGACAGCCGATCCCGGGCATCAAAGAGATCCCGGACACCGTGTTAGCAGGACAGGGCACAGCACCCACCGCGTCGAAGCGTCGCAAACCTTGGGAGCGCGACGTGAATATGGCGACCTCAGCATCGCCGGAACACTCTGTAAAGGAGGACCTCGACCTGCCAGACGCGCCCGCCGATAGCTCCGCGACCATGGGCAATGCCACGCCCAACGACAACAAGCAACGTGAGGCAGATGAAGACAAAAAGGCGCTGGAGGATATGCTGGACGCAGAGGATTCGGATGAGGAATTTCCATCAAGTGCTCCAGTGAAGTCTCAAGAGGCATCGCAATCTGAGCCATTGTAAGCCCTTTAGCAGTATATAGTACGAATGCTCTTTAATTCCTATGCCTACAGAAATCTTGCGCCAGCAGCAAAGTATTCCGACCCCGAGATCATGCGGGCTTTCTACCAGCGCCTCTTTCCTTTCCGCTACCTCTTTCAGTGGCTGAATCACTCGCCGTCTCCCACTAACGACTTTGGTCACCGCGAGTTCGCGTTTACACTTCAAAACGACGCGTATCTTCGCTACCAATCGTTCCCTACTGCAGACTTGTACGTCTTGAACACAGAATCCACGCGTACGAGTCCCTAATATTCGGTACAGGCTCCGCAAACAATGCATTCAAATGATTCCCTCGCGTTTTGAAATCGGCCCCGTCTACTCCACCAACCCACGCGACCGCAAATCGCTTCGCAAAGCCACCGCCTTCCGTCCAATCTCTAAAGAGCTCGTGTTCGATATCGATATGACGGATTACGACGAGATCCGTACGTGCTGCACCGGCGCCAACATCTGCCACAGCTGCTGGACGTTTATTACAATGGCTATTAAGGTGGTGGATGTAGCACTCAGGGAAGATTTCGGCTTCAAGCATATCCTGTGGGTCTACTCCGGTAGGCGTGGTGCTCACGCATGGGTGTGCGACAAAAGCGCAAGAGACATGGACGACCCGAAGAGAAGGGCCATTGCAGGATATCTGGAGCTGCTGAAGGGAGGAGACAAGGGCGGCAAGAAAGTGAACATTAGGCGGCCACTTCACCCGCATCTTGAGTACGCATCTGGCAGTTCTCTACCTTCACAATGCGGTAATGCTGACACAATGCCTATAGACGCAGCTTGAAGGTCCTCCGCTCGCACTTCCAGAGCGACATTCTCCTCGAGCAAAACCCATGGTCCACGCCCGAGAGGTCCTCGCACCTACTTGACCTCCTGCCAGACAAGCAGCTCGTGGACTCGCTGCGCAAGAAATGGGACTCAGCGCCGTCGCGGCCGTCCTCACAAAAGTGGGCCGACATCGACGCGCTCGCCTCGTCTGGTGCCTCCAAAACGCTCGACACCAAAGCTCTCAGGGACGCCAAGATCGACATCCTGCTCGAGTACACGTACCCGCGGCTGGACGCCGAGGTGTCCAAGAAGCTGAACCACTTGCTCAAGTCGCCGTTCTGCGTGCATCCGGGGACGGGGCGCGTGTGCGTGCCCATTGACACGCGCAACGTCGAGGAGTTTGACCCGCTCGCCGTGCCGACGGTGACGGAGCTGCTGGGGCAGATTGACGAGTGGGACCGGGACAATGCCGGCGCGATGGATGGCGACAAGAAGGTGCCGGACTGGGACAAGACGCAGCTGAAGCCGTATGTGGAGTTCTTTAGGGGCTTTGTGGCGGGTGTCTTGAAGGACGAGAAGTCGGCGAAGCGGGAACGCGAGGATGGCGACGTTATGGAGTTTTGATTGAGGTAGGGCGGGGGTAAAAATTACTGGGCGTCACTTGGGAAACTGAGATGGGTTTTGTTGGTTGTTTATGTGGCGAGTGAGGGCCACAGAGGAGGCATGAGTGGTGGGGAGCAAGTTAGGTTGTTTGCGAGGATGGAAAGGAGTTGTCATTGACTCCGAGAGAGGGAGTAGCGGAAGTGCTCTGAGCAAGAGTCCAGCCACGCCCGCACGGAATCTCCCCCTCTCTCTCTCGCAGGTAGACAGATAGACAACGCACCAACGCACCAACGGTGCACGCGCTCCAACAGAGGACGAAAACGAGCCCTTCGCTCCCTGCCCCCGAGTGCAATGCAATGCCCATTCCAGACCAGCGCAGCTGCGCCCCCTCTAGTGTTCCACCAAAGAGCCAGAGCACGCGCATGTGCGAAAAAGAGAAGCTTGGTAGGCGAACGAGAGCACGCACGCAACAGGCCTTCAGCCCGGAAGAAGGAGAAGAAGAGGAAGATGTCAGGAGGCTTACAACACACACACACACACACACACATACGTACAGTACCCCCTGCTTGTCTCACGGTGATACCCACCTAGACGTGCATACGGACGGCGTACCGTACCTACATGCTGTAGGCAGCAGCAGCAGCAGCAGCGAAGTACAAATAGCTACGTATACATATACCTATGCAGGACCACGAAGTCAGCGCTAGCCGCAACCGCAACCGCAGCCGCAACCGCAGCTAACATAACACCTAGCACGCAGCCACGAGCACCCCAACCCCTCTCACCAACCCACTACCCACATATATCTCACATCTCACATCGCACATCGCACATCAACACGTCGCTGACCCAACCCCGCATTTGCACCCGCACCGCCGCCGTCCACAACCTCCCTCCCTACTTATGTACCTGCCTGCCTGCTAGGTGCTGCAGCACTGGCACAGCGCCGTAAAAACGCCTCTCGCGCATACTGTACTCACCAGCGTACCGCAGCAACAGCGCACAGCGCACCACCACAGCAAGTAGGTATGTACGCACGCAGCAGCAGCAGCAACACCAGCAAACCCACAGATCTCGATCTCGTCCCGCAGCTGCATCTGCATCTACATCTACATCTGCGTCTCCATCTGCGTCTGCATCTGCGTCTGCGTCTGCGTTGCCATATACGATGCGCGCACTCACAGTACACAAACCCACCACCAAGCCAAGCCAGGCCAAACCAAGCCAAGCCAAACCAAGCCATCCCCCACACGTAAGTACAATACATACATACGAGTAGGTACATAGGTACATATGCGTTTCGCCAACCCCAACGCCCACCCAAACCAAAGCACCAATCAAGGCGTCCAGGGTGCACAAGACAAACAAAGACGCACGGCCCACCACCACCACCGCCGCCGCCAGTCCGCCAATCAGGGCGCGTGCAACGTAACGTAACGTACCTACCCTACAGGTGGACGTACTTGAGCCGGAGTGCGAGTTACTCCGTTTGTGTACGTGGGGGTGCGTTGGCAGGCGCTGCAGCCTGTGCTGCGGGTGCCGGACGAGCGGCGGCATGTAGGTACGTAGGTGGGTGGCGGGTACTATACCTACCTAGGAAGCGCGCAGTCGTGTATGTAGGTGTGCGTCAGCGGCGATATATGCCGTGTTGGTGAGAGGAGGGCCGGTACGCATCTGAGATAGGTGTAGGTAGCGAGCACGCAGCGCAACGGCACGACACGGCACGGTGAGCTGGGTAAGTACTCGTAGGTACTCGTGGGAACCCGTAGGTAATAGAAAAAGGGGGGTGCCTATTAGTTATTCACACAAGGCGCGGCCAGACGCGCGCGCGCGCTCAACGCCAGTCGTTCTGGCTGCGCGTTCTAGCGCGCGCGCGCGTGTGTGTGCGTGCTATACCTATCGGCGTTTTTCGTTGCTCAGACAGACGTACAACAAAAGCATTGATGGCTTTTCTGCGTCCTCCAATTCTCTCCGCACCACGACCACCCCCTCTCATAGCACAGCAACATGCGTCCGATATCTGAATCTCCCTAGTACTCATTCACCCACACCCCTGCAGACAAGGCTTTCCATGCCTTGCCTACTATTCCCATCAATGCCTCGGCGGCAGTGTGGCGCTGCGCACGCATCTAGTTCTTCAGGCCGAGCTTGTTCATCAGGCCGCCCGAGAGGCCGCCAATGCTGGACTTGTCGTTCTCAAAGACCTTGAGCAGGCTGGTCCAGACGTGGCCGGGCTCCTGGCTGGCGTCGATGGGCTTCCAGATGCCCGTCTTCTGGTAGTAGGAAACGACGGGGTAGGTCTGGGCGTGGTAGGTGATGAGGCGCTTGCGGAGGGCCTCCTCGTTGTCGTCGGAGCGCTGGATCAGCGGCTCGCCCGTCACGTCGTCCTTCATGGCCGACTTGGGCGGGTTGAAGATCTTGTGGTAGCTGCGTCCCGACGCCGGGTGGATCAGACGACCAGTGATGCGCGACACCAGCAGGTTGTCGTCAATTTGAAGCTCGACGGCGTGCATGAGCTTCTGCTGCTTGGCCGTGAGCATGTCGTCTAACCGCTCGGCCTGGGCGACCGTGCGCGGGAAGCCATCAAGGATGAAGCTGTGTTGTCTCTCGTGAGCTTTTTTTGCTAGCCAGGAAAAAATAAAAAAAAATAAAAAATAAAAAATAAAATAAAAAAAATAAAAATAAAAAAAAAATTCCTCGGCGCCCTTCGGCGCCACTTGTTGTTTGCTACTCACCCGTTCTTGCACTCGGTGTTAGACTCGAGCTCGCTCTTGATCATGTTGACCATGATCTCGTCGCTCACGAGCCCGCCCTGGTCCATGATCTTCTTGGCTTCCCGGCCCAGCGGCGTCTTCTTCGCAACCTGTGCGCGCAGCATGTCACCGGTAGCCTGTGTGCACGGTAAGCCGTCATGGTCGCTCGGAGAAACGGGTGTGGGGTGCGCCATACCAGGTGGCAGACACAGAACTTGTCCTTGATGCGGGGCGCCTGGGTGCCCTTGCCTGTGGAGACGATAATGTCAGCATCTCCTCAACAGAGAACACGCAAACTGCCCTTGAACATACCGGCGCCGGGAGGACCCATCAGGATCATGCGCATCGACTGGCTGTTGCTGCTCTTGTCGCCATCGAGCTGGCTCTCGAGGGCGTTGACCCTGGACTCAAGCTTGGCAACCAAGCTCTTGAGCTCGTCGACGGTGGACTCGGTGATGGAAGCCATTGGTGCGGATTGCGGAAGTGGCGGGAGAGTGAAGGTTCACGAGATGCTGGCGGCGACGGAGGGGAGGCGCGTAAAAGGGGGGCTCGAATTGTCCGGGCCTGGGGAAAGCTGGAGGGTTAAAAAACTGGGCAGAGGAGCGGCAGAGCCGGTGATTGATGAGGTCGTTGCGAGCGGCGCATCGGTTGAATGGCTTGTGCTCCGCGCCCGAAGGCCCGATCCTCGGGAGACTGGCGACTGGCTCACGTGCACCCCAGCACCACGTAACTTGTTACGCTCGGAACGGACTTCGTTCGCTGATAGAAGAAAGGGATCGCCTGAGCCCGTTCGACCTGCCTCCAGTCCTATTTACTGTCGTTCTTTGATCCATGCGCGCTCTCCCTGAACCCCTGTGCTATGCAAAACTCATCGCTGAAGCCTCAAAAACGCCTCACCCGTCTAATTACCTATTCCCAAAAGGCCGTGCTTTAGACTACCATCTTCTTCGTCGTCGGCGTCCCGTATCCCTCGTCCGCGCTCCTCTTGCCCAAAACAGACACCGGCGTCCCTCTGGCCTTGCCGTATACCTCTTCGTAGCAGCTCGCATGGTAGATTTTGGGTCCAACCTGAAGCGCGTCCATCCACACAAACTCATCGTCGAGCCTCGATGGCGTGAACTTTTCCTGACAGATAGGGCACGGCGCGTTGACCAGCTCCGGGTCGAGCGGGACTCGTACGAAGCTGACCTGGCTCGTCTTCGCCGCTGCTGTCGAGGCGCCGTTGGTCTCCGGCGGCGGCTTCGCCTCGTCCTGCTCGCGATATTCGATCCACTCTTTTTCACCAATGTACCAACTTCTATGGATCGCTTGCTTCACAATGTTAGGGTCCCTGACCTTGAAGTGCCAGTCGAGATGTCTCCTCTTCATGACCTTGCCCTCATCAGTGCTAGGAAAGCGGCGACCACACGTCGAGCATTGGTTCGGCCGCGCATCGTAAAGGAGATTCAGCAGTGCCGGACGTGGCCTCTTTATAGAGTCCTTGGTTAACTCTACGTCATTCGCACTAGAAGAAGGTGGCACAGCGGAGTGCGGCATCGCCGGGGTGGGCGTGGGGGCTGCTGATCCGCCGAGTAACCCTTGGGCTCTTAGGAGGTCGACGAGCGACAAACCGGATGGGGGTGCAGCTGCCGGCGCGACTGGTGGGATAATCGGGGCAGCTGACGGAGCAGGGAGTGGTGCCTGAACGGGAGTAGTACCCCGATTGAAACCGCGGAGCATGTCTGCTAAAGAAGGAGGAGCCGCAGGGGCTGCCGCTGATATAGGAACCGGGGTTGCTGACTGCGGAACAGGTGTGGCCATGGATGGGAATTGGGGCGTGGGCGTGGGTATCGTAAATGGCGGCGCCATCGGAGCGGTCATCGGAGCTGGGGCAGATACTGCTGATACGCTCGGTTGAGGCGGGGTGGTACCGCCAAGATTAGCCAGCTGCATCTCAACAGCCTCGAGCTGTTTTGGCGAAAGTTGTTGTGACTTGAGAACTGTTTGAAGGTCAAGAAACGTTTGCAACCGTTTTTGTTTCTCCGGATCGCGAATGTTAGTCGCAAAGTCCATCTTTGCAGCCTGAATAAGACGCTCCACATCAGCGAGTATCTTCTCAGCCGATGGGACGGGCTGGGCAGCAGGAGGCATAAACGGCAAGCCTGCAGCGGGCGCTGGGGACTGCCGGACGGCTTGCGCGGGCAAGGCGTATGGGAGAACCAACGAAGGAGCAGGAGATTGGAGAGCCGGCATTTGGGGCGGTGCAAAGGGCATTCCATTTTGGGCTGGAGACTGTCTTGCAGCAGTTCCGGGTGGAAAGCCAAAGGGAGACGGAGCTGGTCTAGCATCCGCGCCCGGCAGGGGTGCCGGGGAGCGAGTCTGGTGCTGCTGCTGCATGGCAACGGTCTTGAATTTCAGAAGCACATTGTCGATAGCCCGCGTGACATCGACAGGAAACACTGGTCTCGTTTCCATCGACTCTGGGACAGGTTGCTTCCATGTTCTCAGTAGACCTTCCAAGGCTTTCCTAGTGGGATTGTCGACCAGGGTATAAGTATTGACGAATGTGTTGTAAAGGTTACGCCCAAGATAGACTGTGTAAGGCGTTCCGACATTCTTTACAATGGAATCCAGCACATACAGAGCCGGCAGTTTCCACTCAGGCCGTGTCTGATTGATAGTGTCAGGGAGGGTTGAATTCCGGGACCGGTTCTGGACTTACACTTCTCACATGGTTTTCCAGCTCCCTAGAGATGGCTTGTGCATGCTCTGTATTTTCTTTTGCGATGATTGTTAGATTGGTGATTTCGGCCCTGCTGTTCATCTTGAGATCCTGCAAAGCATCCCTGAAGTCGGCGGCGACCTCGTCAGAAGCAAGAGACGACATGATGGGCTGTCGAGGTTCAAGTGCTTTCGGTTAGTGCTTCGGTCAGGACTGGCAAGCCTGGCAGGTGTCGGAACGGGGAATCAGCTAGCAGTCGATATGATGTCTTCCGCTCCAGCGCGTTGAGTTGTCCAGCGCCTAGACGCCCCGGCTTTGTGGATGAGAAAATGTCTTCTTCTTCTTTTTCTTCTTCTCTCTCTCGCTCGCGAACACTGAAATCAAAAGCGCAAGTGAATCTTTGCTAGCTAGTATCCAAGCAAGCCCAGAATGACCGCCTTTGCACTTGATGGAACCCAAAGTGAACTGAATCTGCCCTGCTCTATGCCAAATCCTCCAGCCTGACAGCAGTACCTGAGGCCCAGCAACGCTACGAGCGGTAGGAGCAGCGCTATTGCAAGTCCTCCTCACCAGCCCTTGTCAGAAATATGAAGACTCCGCGCGCGAGTGGGGACGTGCGAACGAGAGCCGTCGCCGGTGTCGGAGCGTGCGCGACTGAGACGTGTCTCGACAAGATCGTAGGAGGGCGAGGAATAATAGGCGTATACCGGCGGGGTGCAGTGTCGAGCTGGCGCTTTGTCTGCCGACGGGAAGAGGGTGGAGAGGATTGCCTGACAAGCAGCAGCTGCCCGCGCTGGAGTATTGTCTAATCCGACGTCTTGGCGATCTAATCCCGATGCCGCCTAGCGCTGCGGTCCAGGTCTAAGGTGCGGACGGGAGGGATGATGAGCGCATCGTCCCTGCGTTGGCTCGCTCCTAGAGTACGACATCCACGGACTGTCTCTCTCCCTCTTGCTATCTGAACACCTGGCTGAAACTACCCACCGTGCAAAGAACATACAAACGCAACATGAAGCTCTTCCTTTTCTCCCTGCTCATCGCGCTGCTTGCCACCTGCGCTCTGGCTGCCGCTCCAAAGAGGAGTGTCCTCGTTACCTACCCGATTGGAACTCCTGAGGATGTCGTGACAAAAGCCATGAACAAGGTCATAGAACTGGTATGTCCATCAAACTATCGCGCACGCTTCCGACTAACAGCAGCACAAGAACGGCGAAATCACTCATAAGTTCAGTAAGTTATAAGCGCCTGATATTTTTTCGTATGACTAGTCGAGCTGACATGGCACAGAACTCATCCCGTATGTCGGCTTCCGTGATACTCTTACTACTGCCCTTTCCGCGCATCCTAACGTTTTATGCAGGGGTTTCACCGCGAACGCTCCCGTCAAAGCCCTTGAAGAGGTGAAGACTTTGGGTACCAAGTACCCCGCCCTCATAGAAGAGGACCAGGAGGTCCACGCTCTCGACGACAACTAGAGCACCGACAAGGCATAGACGGACTTACCTACAGGCTTCCGCGAGAATGATACCATAAGGAGCTGGGTTGGTCCTAGGGTTAGAGACGAACTTTCACGCTGGGCTGGGTTATGAACGTGGCTCTACGAGCCCGTAGCAGGACGGATTTGGCGCTTTTTGTGTTTTGCTTTGCTACTTCATACTATCGTTAATCAAGACTTCCGTACCCCTCATACAATGCGGGGCATGCAGAAGACCGGGGTGCGACGGGATCCAGGGCTAGATCGAGAGCGGTCCGCTCCTGACTGTGAAAATAAATGCAACAGGAGATTCGCTTGGCTCTCGAGCTTCTCAATGCAAGCAGATGCAGATGACGACAATGTAATGTCCTGATAATAATTAGAAGGTCGCGTTTAATTGCGGCCTGTTAGGTCCCGCTAGCGCGAGCTCCAAAGGGACAAGGATTCGCGCCAAAGGGTCCGACGTTGTTTGACATTGTCTACTGTCAACGCACACGGTCTATATCAGCCAATGTCACCCACGGCCTGACCATGAGGCTTGAGACGCCTCGACCATACCCAAGCCCTCGCTCAAACAGCACTTGAATCACCCGAAGCGCCCACGACACAACGCAACCCCCAACACCGCAGCAGCCATGGATGCGACACCGCCGGCGCTGGAGTCCGCGCTGTTGCGCTGGCTCAACAGCTTTGAGCTCACCCAACCCGTCACTGCTTGGAGCGAACTTGCCGACGGTCAGACCCTCTGGCAGGTTCTGACCGATATCGACCCTGAGTTCTTCAACGGCGGCCTGCCCGAAGCGGACGCGAAGTCGACGGACAACTGGATACCAAAATGGCAGAACAGTACGGAAGTCGTCAAACGGATGCCCAATTCAATGAAAGCTGACATTCTTGAAGCGAAACACATCGATCGTGCCATAACAGCCTACCTGCGGGACGAATGCGACAAGGAAGTCTTCTCCAAGACCCTCACCCCTGACCTCAAGGCCATCGCCATCGATGGCTCCAAGCCAGAGACGATCAAGGTAGGCAACGACTCCCTCATGCGGATACCACACCGGATGCAAAATTCATATCGAGGAGCTCTATGTTAAGATTAGAAATAGCTCGTCAAGGGCGCGCTGCTCGCGGCCATGTACTCCCCCAAGTCGAATCAACGTATGGTTGGCATAATGTCTGAGCTAGGAGCAAGCGTTGCTGGACCGATAGCAGATATGATCGGCGATATGCAGGCTGCGGCCCAGAAGTTCGACGAGGCCCACGCTGAGCAGGAAACCCGCCTGGACGAAGATGTGTCCACCGACTCCGAACCCTCGCACGATCTGGTTTCTCGCGATCCCGAACTCGAGCGTGAGGAACAGCTGATTAGGGCTAGTCAACACCAGAAACGGATCGAAGCCCAGTTGGCGCAGATCACGAAAGATCTCGAGGAGAAGAACAGACACATCTACAGACTCGAGGAAGAGCTGGCCGAATCGAAACTGGAGATCGGTCGCAGAGTCCGCCGGGCTTCCGATGACGACGAAACGGTTCAACTCAAACTGCAGACTCACAGAGATCGCGACTACATCGCCCAATTGGAATCCGATCTTGCCGAAACCAAGAACATCCAGGAGAGCCAACAACGCGCTCTGGAGCGTCTGCGCGCGGATGAAACCACCAAGCAGGAGCTCCGCGACGAGCTTCAGCTCACCAAGTCTGAGCGTGATGAGTTCTCGCAGAAGGCTAAAGCCAACGAGAATCTCAAGAAGAAGATCCAGTCGCTGCAAGAGCAGCAGAAGGCTGATCAGGCGCTTCGCGAGGAATTGTCTGCGGCGCAAGAGCAGCTGCAAGAGCTGGAGCATCTCAGAGAGCACGTCTTGGCTCTCAAGAAAGCCAATGAGGAAAACATGGAGACTATTGCCAACGGCGAGCAGGAAATCTTCGACCAGAAGACTGCTAAGAAGAGGCTGGAACATGAGCTGAAGGTCATTACTCAGCGCTTTGAGCAGTCTCGGGACATGGCTACCCGCTACCAAGAGGCGAATATGGAGCTTGAGAGCAAGCTGCGCGAGGTGGAAGACAGCAACGCGGGTGCTGAGGCCCTGGGCTCATTGGAGGAGCAACTCGGTAAGGAGGAGACCGACGATGCGTCCAAGGCAAACCGCAAGTCCATGATGTCTCTGATTGGCGGTGAGGGTGCCGATCTCATCCTGCTGCAGCAGAAGGTCGATCTCCTTCAGGCCAGGTGCACGAGAGTCGAAGAGAAGTACCTCGACGTGTACCAGGAAAACCTCGGACTCCAGGCGGCCATTCAGGACGAAAAGGCGAAGCAGTACGTTACTACTTCACCACATGATACCGTTTTGCCCATCGCTTACCAGTTGCAGGGAGGATCCTTTCGTCTACCAGGCCAACAAGCTTCATGCTGCTGAGGCCGAAATCAAGGATCTCACCAACAAGGTCCATGCCATCTCCACGAAGAACATGGAGCTGCAGCACAGCCTTGCTGAGATTTCCGGCACTAACCAGACGGAGGGAGCATCTGGCGCTGACCACAAGGCACTGAAGGACAACTACGAGGCATTGCTGACAACACACGAAGAGCTTCAGAAGCATGCAGATAAGATCGATTCGGAGTTGGATGACCAGAAGGCTCTGCTCCGTCACCGTCTCCTCGACCCCAACGCGCTTCGTCACGAGGACGCCGAGGCCATGCGCTCCAACGAATTCAAGGTTCTCATGGAGCAGCTTCAAGTTTTCCGGGAAGCTTCGGACGAGGAGGCGGCCCAGATGAAGGCTGTGATTGCCGCCGAGGTTTCCAAGAAGCTCGAGACGGGCAACGCGGAGATTGCGGCGCGCGAAAAGGTAAGCAACTGCACCGACAACTGGCAAAGCATCACCTTCGACTATTCCCGTCCATGGCAACGAGCGTTGTCGATCCGCTCTGTCTCGGTTTCCCCTGAGCCAGAAGAGGAGCAGCAGCCACCGTCGACTCCGGTGGACTTTGACAGCTGCAGCATCACGTCCATCGACAGTGGTGAAATGCTTAGCGTCGGTCCCACCGCTTCGAACGGGGCTGGCAAGATTGTCGGCTTCGGTCCCTCGAATCCGACCAACATGCCCTCAGGACAGCGCGCTCTATCATGGATGCACAAGGCCTTTGCCCGCCGTCTCCATTGATACAGCTGCTAACTGCATTTCTCTGCCAGCAAATAGAGGACCGCGATGCGATCATCAGCAAGCTCAAGAAGGACGCAGAACGTCTCAAGAAGGAGGCAGGTGACAAGGCTTCGGTATGTTTGAATTTCCCCTTCCCAATCCGTCTCTGCAGCACAGAGATTACTCTTCCCCCTTTTATTCTTATGTAAAACACGGTATACGAGTATACCCCACATGATTTGTTGCTGATACATGTGAAATTCGCAGATCGACGCGCACAAAGAACTGCAAGCCCTACAGCGCGAGAACCGCCTCATCACCGGGGCATGGTACGACATTGCCTCGCGCCTGCAATCCAACACCGTCGTCCTGCAGCGCAAGGCCGAAGTCTCACGCAGCTGGATCGGACGACAGCGCGCCGAGGTGGGCCGCGCGGGTGGCCCGGTACGTCAACATTTCGATCTTCCCATCGCCCTTTAAGCGTAATTCCGCATCTTTTTTTCCGTCTTTATTGCTGCAAGGGCGTCGTCGGGTTCTTGTACGGCAGGGATGGGCGCTTGTTTCTTGTGGCCTAGAGTGGTCAGGTAGTTTGAGGAGGCGAGGCTCTCGTCGACTTGTAAACACTTACCTGACAGTTTCTCTTGCCGATGCGTTCGGTTGCCCTGAGTTCATGTGCCCTGCCTGTCTCATTGCTCGATGAGTTTTATACTGCATGCAGCTTGCATATCACCTATTAGTTATCAGCCCTTCTCTTCATGTATCCACTCAACACCGCCACCACCACACCACAATCTGCCACGCACAACCAAAACAGCCATTAGACAACACAACCACGCACAAGAGCACGTTCCTGCTAACGCGACGCTTCTCCGCACAGATTCGCAGATGATAGCTATCGGCGACGGCTGCTCGGGCTCGGGCTCGTGGACCCGTGCGACCTGAGCGAGTATACACCGGTGCAGCAGTTCGTGTTGAACTTTGTGGCGCTGGTGAAAGAAGAAGTAGCGGTAGCGGTGAGCGCAGCGATGGAAGAAGTAGAAGAAGCAGTAGTAGCAGCACCAGAGCCAAAGATGGAACAGCAACAACAGCAGCAAAAACAAAGCGGGCTTTTCCGGATCTGGGCCTGGCGGAGAGGGTGAAGAGACGTGATGATGGATGAGCATTGCATACCTATGAGGCGGGATGGACGGGTTGTTTGTTTGTTTTGTGCTTGGTTCCCTGTTTTTTCGCGGATAAGGTTTGGTTTGTTGTGTTGGGTTCTGATGCGATGCGCGTTGGTTTGTCTTCTCCCCTCCTCCTCCTCTTCCTCCCTTCTCCCCGCGGCGGCTTGCACGATCGATCTCTCAAGCTTCTGGTCTGTTTTCTCTGGCTTTGGGCGCTCACCACCGTTGTTGCTCCTGCAGCAGCAGCAGTTTAATCTCGGCGCACTAAGAACAGGGTCTGCAGACAGAGGGAGTTGGTGGGCATCGTCTTCGTCTTCTTCTTCTTCTGCTTCTCAAAGTTTTCGTTCTGCCGAGGCTGCTTCCCATGGCAGCTGACGACCGGGTCTTTTTTCGTCGCGAGTGTTCTCGTTCTCACTCACACTCACACCACCTGGGAGGTTCTATATACCCCTGCATCACACCGAGGCGTTTCGCGCAACACATACACGCGTCTTTTGACTCTTATTTTCCTTTCCTTGTTGCTTTTTTGTTTTTTTCACTTTCCTTTTTGCTTTTGTTGTCATGTCAATAGCCCTGCGTGGGCACTGCCGGTCCTTATCCACACTCACTTACACTCTCTCTCACACTCACTCACTATCTCTATCTCTCTATTTTCCTCTATCTCTTTTTTTGCTTTCATTGTTAATCGTTTCATTGCTTTGGTCTTGTCGCTACTGCGCTCACAACCCCCCCTTATCGGCACCTAATATCCCAACATTGTCCCTTTCTTGGCAACGCAACCGCGCGGCGGGTTTATAGAAACAAAACGGCTTTCTGCTGCGCGCTGGTGGGGGGAGGAGGGAGTGGTGGTTTTAGACTTTTTGTTTGCGTTGTTTGTTTCGTTTCTTCTTTTGCTTTCTCTCTCTCTCTCTCTCCTTATTGCTTTTTAGTATCTTTGCGTCTTTTGCTTTGCTTTGCTTTCTTCGTCGTTACTGCTTGCTTGTTGTAGACACCTAGTCCTGGAGATCTCTTTTGTCCAAGTCGGTCTGACGCGCCTATCAATATAAATATTTCCTTGTCTGAACCGTGATGGGCTTTTTTCGTGCTGTGGGGTTGTACGTGAGGGGTCTCGCACGGTGAAGACGCGTGCCCTTTATCCTGTCTGTCCGTCCGTCCTGAACTCTATCGCCTTTCCCTGCCTCTAACGTTACATTACCGCCGCACCTCCCCCCTATACCACCACCAACACTCCCCATACCTGACCCCACCCCGCATCTCACCCCATCCCATCCCACCGCACAAGCAATCCAGCGCCATCATAACTGCGTAGCCAACTCTTACCTAATTAACGCCTACGCCGCGGAGTATCATATGCCGTAGCTTGACTAAGAAGGGGGGATTAAGGGGGAGAGTATAGGTTTACGGCGCCATTGCTTGTGGTGCTTGTTCATGTTCGTGTTCTCGGTTGGCTGGAGTTGAGCTTGATTTGAGGTGAGCTGAGTTTTATAACAGCAGGATAGCACAACAGAGCAAAACCAGCCAAACCACCAAACCTCGCACCAACAAGCACGCAGCCATCAGTGCCGACGCAGCGTATACATACGGGGATGGTGCGGCGCTCGAAGTACCTTCCTAGATAGGTAGCTGGTTACAATGCGAGACAGTTGGCTGTTGGCTGTTGGCTGTTGCTTGTGTTGGGAGTGATATGGGGGTCTAGACAGGTTGTGAGGGAGGAAGTAGTTAGGTAGGTAGTGTAGACAGGGTGGTGTGGACAGGATAGCTCAGGCCAGGATGTGTGGACGGTTTAGCTGTAGCTGTAGCCGTAACTATAGCTATACATAGGAGTAGAGCTCGCGCGGTGGCTGCCAGTTGAGAAAGGAGAAAGGAAAGGGCGGGATAGGCGCGTTGCTACCCAGCTACGTCCCTACGTCTGTACGTGCGTGGGTGAGCAAGTGTATATTCATATCGAGGGTGGTGGTGGTGGTGGTGCCACCAGTGCGCAGTCGTTGTAGAAGTACCTAAGTGGTGTCACACACGGAAAGTTCCACTCAGTCCCGCCTTCGTATGCTACCCCTAAGTAGGTAGGTAGGTAGGTAGGTAGGGACAGAGGACGTGGGAGAGAGGTCAGCACGCTGACTGACTGACGGTGGTGCAGGTGTGTGTGTGTAGATATATGTATGCATGCTTGTAGGGACTACTAGCTACTACTGCTACTACCAACTTTGATTTCAATTTCAGCTCGCGCGCGCTGGTCTGGGCAGTGACTGCGTTCGTTCCTTCCGTCCGGCAAGCCCTCGCTCACCGGCTCGCTCTGACTTGAGCGCACGACAAACGACCGCGGCAGCCCTTACGCACGCACGCACGCATGCACGCATACCCACATGCCCACTCACTCACACGCTCACTCGCCCCTCACACTTACGCGCGCGCCTAAATCTCCTCCAAATCCTCATCGAGCCCATCATCAAGCGGGGCGAAATCGCCGACCTCGACACGCTCCGGGCGCACAAAGACGCCGCAATTGGGCTTGCAGTCAAAGTAGCGCGTGCCCTTGACGGAGCCGTCGTTCTTGCCCGTCGGCTCGTCCAGCGCAATGCCGATCCAAGGCGCGCCGGCCGTGCCGGGGATGTCGGGCACGGGGCCGATGAAGGCGATGGCGCCGCGGCGGGCGTCGCTGGAGGCGGGGAGGAGCTGGCAGCGTAGGTGTAGCTGGATGCCTAGGAGGGGGGAGGTTAGCTTGGGTTGAGTTGGGTTGGGTTGGGTTGCTTTGGGTCGGGGCAGGGGGGGATTGAGATTGGTGTTGGTTTTTTTGGTGGGGTAGAGTGAGGCGTGGTAGTTGTTGGTTGCAAGCTTTCGCATTCGGGTCCGGCCCGCGCCGCATGGGGTAAATAAAAGGGGGTGAGGGGTCGCAAGGATACCTCGCTCGTGGACCTCGCGCTCGAGCGCCTTGACCTTTTGCTCTTCAAGCGAGCCGGCGTTGGGGTCGAAACGGCCCAGCTTCTGGGCCTTTTTCCAGGCCAGGACGCTGTCGGAGCGGTGCTCGTACTCGTCGGCCGGCATCACGTACTTGTCGACGGCGGAGACATCGGAGAAGTCGGTGCGGGCGGCGGCGGGACGCGTGTCGTGGACCTAGAGAGTAAGATGCATCAATGAGAGAGAACGAAAGAAACAAAGAGAGAGTGAATGAAGCTCAGTGTCAAAGTGCACTGTAGTTGGGATCGCCGGATCGGCGCCAGAACTCAGCAGGTGATCCCTGCAGGCCCCAATTACGCGCGAAAGTCGGCACGCGCCAGGAGTCGAGGCAGGGAGCAGGCGCGGTGGCCGCCGGAGCCGACAACTTACGTAGATCTCGGCATAAGGCTGCAGAGGAAAGGCGGACAGTTGGGCAGCCTCGTCGTCGGTCGCCTCGAGGGCCATGGGCGCCTGCGAGCCGATCCGCAGCGTCAACCGCTGGCACGTGGCCGGCACCCCCGTGATGGGCTCCAGTCGCGTCTTCAACTGCGCCAGGCTCCACGCCGGCGCGACTCGCCGTTCACTGCGCGAGTGGTGCGAGGCCACGACCATGGGCACGTCGGGCGCCGACTGGTGAAGCTGCGACAACGACGACATTGTTGGGGGCGATGATAGGTGTGTGGGGGGCGATCCTGACCGGTGAAGTCGCGCAGGAAAAAAAAAAGGAAACAAATAAATCAAAAATTAATTCAAGTAGTGTATGTATGCAGTGTAGTGTTTATTTGTTGTGGGGTTCACCGAGTTCAGGGGCAGGCGAGCGAGCGAGCGAGAGATTTTTTGCGTGATGTGTGATCCAAGTTGAGAGTGCTGAATCATCCAGCACAATAATTCCATCTCTCACACTCTCCTTCGCGCACCTTGCACCCATCCGTCTGGAGCCCCGTAGATCGCATCTCGTGGCCCGTGAGGCGGTTCGGCCCTATGCAGCACCTCTCCAACCTTTTCTCTCCGCGCGACGCATTGACAGCTGGCGCTCAACGACGACCAGCGTGCCAGGACCTCTCACACCGCTAGCTCGTGACCGTGGGTCGTGGCTGCACGCCTGATTTTCGAAGAAAAAGAAGAAAAGAAAGAAAAAGAACAATGATAACATCACAATGCCAATAGCCGGCCTACGCGCGCCACGGCTTCCACTGGGTCCGCGTTGGGCCTCAATCCGCCTGCTGGATACGCCCGTACGTCCATAGCCCTGATGAAACCCGCCGACTCCCCACTCCCGCGCACATGGCAGAGCCCGCTGCGTCACGCCATGCGTGCGTTGGTTGTTCCCCCCCCCCTCCGCCGCCGCCGCCGTAACGTGTTCCTGAGACGTCCCGCTTCGGCTATGACAATTACTTTATTCACCGCTACTATGTACAAGCTGGGTGGGGTGCAGCGCGGAGAGAAGCATCATGAATGCTTCTGGCATCGGGGACTCCCGGCCGGCAGGAAGGAAGGACCGCGAAAAAAAAAAAAATAAACAAAAAATCTTTTCTACTATGTAGTAAGAGAGAACCAAACATTGAGAATAAAAATAAGGAAAGTAAAAGAAAGTAACACAAAAAAAAAAAAGTAAGGGTTAAAAAGCAAAAAGAAATTTAAATAAAAAAAAAATTAAAAATTAAAAATTAAAAATAAAAATACAATAAAGCCGGATAGAGACAGAGAGAGGGAGAAAGAGAGAAAGACTATGCAGATCTCGTTCGCGCCAGGTCATCGCGCTTGCATCCGAGAAGCCCTACAGTTCCTTCAAGCATCCCTGGAGCAGTTCACCGCCTAAAACGTGCCGCTGACTGGTTGCCTTGAGGCTCGGGTCGTCATCGGTCTCCGGACGAATTCTTTACAGCCGCCGCCGACTGTCTGCCATGACGGGGCCCAACCTCTTTTATCTGCATTTCTGCATGGGATCTTGACAGCCCCAGTGTTTAGACACGTCATCACACGCCTGCCTGCCGGCTGTCTGCCCTATCTTCCTCTATTCTCGGAAACGTGATCGCTGCGTTCAACTCGGGGTCCTGGGTGATCCCGGTAGGTGCTTGCGTTGTGGCGTGCCCGTTATGCATGAACATCGTCGTCACAGCAGTTTGCTGGAGAGACGAAGGGAGCAAATTTTCCGCTCGCCTGGTCGCATGTTCCTTTTTGTGGCCGCCGTGGGCGCGGCTTTGCTTTTCTAGACCATCTCGTCACGATTGGCCGCCGACCACCCCCCCTGCCCCCCCGGCCCCTTGACCTGGTACCTTGGACGGGCAGCGAGTAAGAGGGCAGAAGGGCCTGACATAGACGTCGTTGGTCCTCCACCCCATCCTCGGAACTTTTCGAGCTTGCCCGCTTTTGCCCTCGCCACCCACACGAGTCACTATTTTGGTAGTCTCCTGCTTACCGGTCTCCTGCGCGTCAACTTAGTGTCGTTGCTCATACCTTCCTCGCCAAGGCCAATCCCAACCTATACTTCTCTGTCGCAGCGTCCAAGCCCAGCCGGATCCCGCCTCGAAGCGCCATCGCACGCCAAAGGACCGCTCCCGTTTGGCCAACTCTCCGAGGGCTTTCCCTGTCAAAAGAGACCAGTAGAGTATCGACTCGTTTTCTGAAACCTTTTTTGTGGCCTAGAAGTTCGATATCGCTGCTGTAGTCAGAGAGCCAAGTGACTGCGAACTCGGTCCTCCAGAATAAGAGCTACGTCCCTCGAGACGAAGTAACACCATCGACTCGGGGCATCCGGAACGCTTGTTCTTTTTTGCGAGCTCGAGCTTCCACTTCATTTGAATCTCTCCGTCTCTCTCTCTCTCTCTCCACGAGGAGCCACGTGGACCGTTTGATGGGCTGGTCCTAATTTCAAAAAGAGGCCAGCCTTTCCACTAAGCAAGAAGAAAGAAGCCCTCACCATGGACATCTCACGCCTCCTCGAGTCGCGAGATACGCGAGGCTCAGAATCTCCTCCTGGCAACAGGAGCACGACATCAGCCGGCTCACTCGGTGTAGCATCGACCGGCTCACAAGCTCAGGGGGCGTCGGCGCAGCCTCCGGCCGCCTCGTACGCAACGCCAAGGACGGCGACGGCGACGACAGCGACAACGGCGGCGACGACGACGACGATACCTTCGCCATCTCATCAGGGGCCGAGGCCTCCGCAATGGCAGCTTCAGCCTCCTCCCCAGCAGCTGCCACCTTTGCGGCAATATCCGCAGCAAGAAGAATCGCCCCCTTACGCCCATCACGGCTTCAGGCCCATCTACTCAGGCTTGGCCCCCAACGTGGCCCCTGGCAACCCGCCGGCGCCGGCGATGCCGCAGGCGCACGCTCTGCAGCAAGCGTCGAACAAGCGTTCGGCGTCGCGCGCGTCGCTAGCAGGCGAGTCTTCTTCTGCCATCAAAAAGGAGAAGAAAGGCAAATGGACCAAGGAAGAGGAGGAGATGCTGATTCGCATGCGTGGGAGTGGCATGAAATGGGTCGAGATTTCGGACCGTAACCCAGGCCGCAGCCCGACGGCGTGTCGCCTTCGGTACCAGAACTACACGGAGAAGAAAGAATGGGCCGAGGATGAGAAAGACATGCTGGCGCGCATGTATCATCGGTACGTAGTAGCCAGAAAGGGGATGAGGATGCGATGATGATGATGATGAGTAAGACGCTGACGGATCCGTGCTCGCAGGTTCATGGAAGACATGTGGAAACGCATTGGCAACGAGATGTGCCGGCCGTGGCGATCATGCGAGCGCATGCACTGGCAGCTGGGCGAGGAAGAGATGCTGCGCCGGGCCAACGTGCAATATAGGAGCACGACGGGCGGCGTGGGCGCGACGACCATGGCCAGCACCGAGCCGGCGTCATTCCCGGCCTCGCCGAACCGCGACGCCGACTCCTACCACGCCTACCACGAGCAGCACCACCACCATCACCACCATCACCGCCAGACGCTCGAAGAGGACGACGACCTCGACCAGGAGCGCCACCAACAACACCTCCACCACCACCACCATCACGCCCAGGCGCACCATCACCAACATCAGCAGCACCAACAGCAACAACAACAACAGCAGCAGCAGCAGCAATGGCATAACCCCCAGCCCCCATCCGGCCCCATCCGCAACACGACGCCCCAGCCCCCCGCCCACTCCATCATTGTGCCCCTAACCTCGCCACGCATCAGCCTCAGCAGCGGCAGCAGCAGCACCACAAGCACGCACCCGGCGGCCAGCAGCAGCGGCAACCACGGCGCCAGCAATAAAAACAGCAGCAGCAGCTCGACGGCAGTGCCCGCGCCGCGCACCTACAGCCTAGACCCGACGGCGTCGCTGCTGCCGCTGGGGCTGGCGCCCGCGCACCACCACCACAGCCACGGCCACGGCCACCCGCCCGGCGCGCAGTCCGTCTCGGCTGCCGCGTCGCTGGCTGCGGTGTCGGGGTCGGGCTCGGGGCCGGGGGTCAGCATGACGACGCCGCGGACTGTGCCCGTGCATGCGGGGCTGGCGAGCCCGTTTGGGGGGAGTGGGAGTGCTGGCGAGGGGAGGGAGAGAGGGAGGGTCTTGAGTGCGAGTCCGCCGGAGAGGAGGAGGGGACGGAGGGGCGTTGTTGGTGAGGAGTAGGGTGGGGGTATGTAGATGGTTGGATGGATGGGTGGTTGGAGGGATCAAAGGAGGAGGGGGAGGGATCCGTACGGTACGTGCATGCTTGCTTGCATTTGCATTTGCATTTGGCAGACGACGACCTGAGATGAACGAGCGAACGACTTCATGACCGGCCATGACCTACGACACGACGATGACAAGAACTACGCCTACCTAGCAGCAACAACAACAACAGAGACAGCGAGCGACACGGGAGACGCGGGCGCGGGAAGCGGGCAGAGCGCGCAATTTTTTTTTATTTTTGGACTTGCTTTATCTAGTTTTCTCCTTGCTTGCTTCGTATTCTCATGTATTTTATTTACTTTTTTTCCTCTCTTCTTTCTCTTTGCAGCCTTCGTTTTCGTTTTCGCTTTCTTTTTTCTTGAACCCGTCTTCTCTTTTCTTCTTCTCTTGGAACTTTCTTCTTCTGTTTGACTTTCGTGCTCGCTTCACCGCTCAGCATCACATTCACATTCACGTTCATCATCATCGTTCGACGTTGTTTTTGCTTCTTCTTGTTCGTGTTTGCTGCCTGCGCCTTCTTCTGCTTCTTCTGCGCCCGACACGCTTCGCGACGTCTTGATATGACATGCATGCCATTATGATTTGACCGTTCTTTGTATTATTTAGCACGTTGGCCAGGGATGGCCGTTTTTGCTGGGGTGGGCACAGCTGATGGTGGCGCTTGCGGTGGTGGGGTCAGGGGTGGTGGCGGCGCCGGAGGTGGTGCAGCTTCAGGTGGTACAAGTACATACTGGCTTGAGCAGAGCAGAGCACGAGCTTGGTTGGAAAGAACGTGAGCGGGAGTGCGAGCGTTTGGAGACGAGCAGATGACAGACAGAGTCAGCAGTAGCAATAGCAAAACCCATATCATCCTACCTACTGTACCTCCGGTCTTGGTACTTGGCCGGTATGTAGATACACAGTACATGTACATACACCCAGCGCCAAACAAGCACCACGACGCCCGCGCCAACCTAGGTAGCATCACCGACATGCCCTTCTCTCCGTCATCCACACACATACACACAAACTTCCATACCCATACCCATACCCACCCTACCCTACCCAACCAGCCCCATCCATCCGTCACCGGGCCGGCCCAGCCATCCTGCCATGCTGCCATCCACGCGCCCAGCCATGTCTGCCTGCACCGCACTGACTGTACATACGTATGTAGCATGTATGGTATGTACACAGCCATGACTCCAGCCAATTACCAACCAACCAACCAACCAACCAGCTAACCAGCCAGCTAACCAGCCAACCAGCCATACCAGCCATACCCCAGCCAGCCAGCCCACCCTGCTCTGCGCCCTGCCTTACCGCTGCCTTACCGCCATCTATCCATTGAGCCATGATCCATCCATCCACGGCCAACGTACCCTGCCCACAGCACACAGCACACAGCACCAAACAACCCCACGCACCCACGCGCCCATATGTATGTAGGTAACCAGCCGATCGCTTACCACTCTCACTGATGCCACTAGGTAGGTACCGCCCGCTAGCCCACCGCAAGGCCAAGACCAAGCACATCGCTTGCCCATCGCTTGCGCATCGCAGCGCGCATCATCCTGTCACAGCAGCAACAGCAGCGGCCATCGCGATCTCTGCTTTGGCGATCCCCGCCGCGAGCAACGTAAAGCACGCAAAGCTCGCAAAGCACGTACGCAGGCACCAGGCAGGCACAAGGCAAGCAAACCGAGCCAAGCCAGCCAGCCTAGCCGGCCTCGCAGTCAGTCAGTCCCTGCCGCTTGCTTGCTTGCTTGCCTGCAACCCACACACCCACCCATACCCATACCCATGCCCTGCCCTTGTCGCCGATTGCCATTGGGACCATGGCTAGTCCAGCCCACGTACAGTCCACACCACCCCACATCCCGTCCGAGACTCCCAGTCCCAAGCTCCGTCCGTCCGTCCGTCCGCGGCAGAGGTGCGGCGGGCATTAGCATTAGCAAGCAAGCGAGTAAGCAGGCTCTTGGGCGAGTAAGCAAGCAAGCAAGCAAACAGCCGCAGCCTTTCTCAACCTACCTCCGCAATCCGCACCAAAACGTCATAGGCAGCGTGCAACCCCGCCCATCGCCCATCAGAACAACACCAACACCAACAACCAGCACCAACATCAACCAGCCCCAAACCCAGCCCCGAACGCAAGTCCAAACCCACGCCCACCGAAAGCACAGGGCGCCGGTGGCTGGCTGGCTGGCAAGTCCAAGCACCTACCCACGCACGCACGGTGTGGCTCGCCAGCGCGCCGGGCTCGGCAGCGGCACTCGCAAAACCAAAGACCAAAGCTCTCGCCAGCGCGCGCCTCTGGCGCCCGCCCTTTCGTGATCGGCGCCCGGGGGGGGGCCACCTGCGCCTGCGCGCCCCACCCCACCCACGACCGACCGACGATGGCCATGATGGAAGAGCCCGTACGGCCACGTGAGCAAGCAAGCTCGGGCGTGCTTATCCGTGCCCACGCCCACTGCAGGTGCAGGGTGGGTTAGTGCGTGCGAGGCTGCGAGGCTGCGCTTAATGAATGGGGCTGGCGGCTGGCTGGTTGGCTTGGTCTTTGTCGACGTCGTTGTCGGTGTCGTCGTCTTTCCATGTGGTTGTGATGTGAGGGGGCGCGCTGCTTGGGGCGGGGTGGGTACGGAGAGGGATAGGGCTGGGCTGGGAATCGGAATTGGACTGGGAATGCTGCTACCTTTGGGTATAGGTATGGTGTTGTGGTTGACGCAGACAGACAGACAGATAGACAGATAAACGGTAGCGCGTCGCGTCGCAGCAGCCAAGTCAATCACTCGGATTTGCGCGTGCTCTGCATGCTCATCAAGACGCGCCCACACAACAACAAACAACAATACACAGACACACACACACAGAACCTCACCTCACCAAGCACTCACTCAGCACCTTCATTCCTCCATCCCACCCCAAAGCAAAGCAAAGCAACACAAGCCCGCGCCCGCGCTCGCGCCCAGCCCACGCGCACGCCCACTCCTACGACAGACGGGCAACAAAACTCTTTCCAACCACGCGCCCACGCGCCGACCCGCGCCCGACGTAATAATAGCACCGACGACCGCGCGACGGCGTCTTTATGTAAGCAAGCGAGAAAAAACCCCTAGTTATGCCCTCCGTACCCGAACAAGTCCGAGCTCAAGCTCCAGCAGCTCCCTGGCGCGTGCCGTCATGGCATACCTACCACGCTGCCTACGCGCTAGGTACTAGGTACTAGGTGCCTAACCTACTACGTACGAGGTGCTACGTATGGCGGTGATGGTTAATATCGCGACGACGGTGCTGGCAATGCCGCAATGGCGTTGTCTTCCGCATGCCATGCCATGGCCAGGCGCTTGCTAGCTAATGCTGCCTGACGGCGCGGTGCCCGGTGCCTGACTAGTTTACTCCGTACGTCTGACTTCACTGAATGACCGACAACGACGACGTCGACGTCGATAGCCGCGCCAACCACCCACCGTCGGGTCCGTCTTCGTTGTAACTAACTAAGGTACCTAGCTAAGGTGCCAGCCGCCCGCAACCGCTACCCAGCCTCCACTAGAGTAGAGTACTTGCCCAGCCGCGCTGGCAATGGCATGGCAATGGCAATCAATGGCCGCGTCGGTTGTCGTGGTCATGATGGTGGTGATGGTGGTGCGCGTTCCTACAGCAGTGTACATACATACTGTACATACATACGTCCTGCGTGACTTGTGCGAGACTCCAATGTATGTACCTCTGTACACACGCACACCTCAACACCCACCGCTACGATGAGTACGTATGTACACACAACAAGCCATGACCGGCGCTGCTGCTACTGCTGCTATGTAGACAGATAAGTATGTAAAGCATTCAAACAACCGACTATCGACTGACCACCGTACCTCCATCCCTCTCCATAGTCCATACCACAGCACAGCACCCAACCCAACCAACTCGCCGTATCCCAGCAGCAGTACCCGCCCTGGGCGTATTAGGCACGAGAAACCAGCCAAGCCAAAGCCAAAGCCAGGGCATCCCTCCCCTCCCCTCCTCCCTCTCCCTGTCTCGCTCCATCCCACCCTCAGGCTCTCTGCACCAATCCAATCCCAATGGCGCGCGTCCTGTCCTCTAGCCTCAAGTCGCAAGCTGCAACCTAAGAGCCGGACCGGCAACGGCAACGGCAACGGCAACGGCAACGGCGGCGGCGGCGGCGGCGAGGCTTCTTCCTTCGCGCCCGCCACGTCTGCTCTAGAGTAAGTAGGCGCCACTGGCTCCTAGCTAGCGAGCGGGCGGCGGCACCGGCGGCGGCGGCGGGAAGGATGATGCTACTCTTGGTGATGCTGATGATGATGGAACCCCGAACCTGGGTGGCCAGGACGTGACGACGACGACGACATCGGCATGGCATGGCCATCGACATCGCCAACGGGCAGCCAACCTGCGCCAACGCCAACGCTCAGATCCCCACGCCAACGACGCAAGCAGCAAGCAAGCAGAGCGCACAGCCCGATCGCTCGCCACCCCTCCCCCACTCGGAGACGACGACGACGACGACAACCTGCTTGCTTGCTTGCTTTGCCTGCCTGCCTGCCTGTTGTCATTGACTGCTGCGCCCCCCCCAAAAAAAAATCCCCGAGAGCCCAGACCTAGACCCAGCCCTAGACTCAGACCCATAGATCCAAGCCAGCAACCAAAAAACAACGCCCCCTGCCCCCCGCTGAAAAGAAAAAAAAAAATCCAACCCGTCCACATGCCCAATCCGGTCGATCGCTCCACACCCAGCGCACCACGTCAGCGGCCGCGCTCGCGCTCGCGCTCGCGCCAAGCCTAGTTACTCGTCCTGCTGCTGCGCCTGCGCCTGCTCCTCGTCCTGTTGCTCCTCCCCTCCGGCCGGGACCTCGCAGCCCTGGGCGAAGAAGGCGCGTGCCGGTACGTCCGTCTCGTTGGAGATGCTGTAAAAGTTGCCTATTTGGGAGCGCGCGTACGTTAGTCTCGGGATCTCATTGGCAACCAATAAAGCAAAAAGAAAGAAAGAAAGAAGGCAAAA